TGTCGATGAAAACAGGCGGTCGTTCCAATTTATGCCGCACTATGAGGTTGTTCTCCAGAATCCAAAATATGTCGACCCCTCCGAACGTGCGGTGTATGACGCTTATCGTGGGTTCCGGAGTAACCATATCCATCTATCAATCTCTGTGCTTGCTCCAGAGAGTAGGGATTGGTCTGTCGACCGTGTTGAATCACCCACTAGCTACAACACTGTCCATCTCACTCCGCGATTCTTCACTCACTTTTTCAATTGGTGGTCTCTTTTCTCTGGGGTAATGTCACTTCCTGTTCGTCAGGGTCCATTGTGGCCCGGCATCACCAAGACTAGCAAGAAATTCAACCGTCATCTTGCCACTGTGAAGTATCAACTGCTCTTCGCTCCGTTGTTTGTAGCTCACATGTACAAGCACAAGGATCGCGAAGACTATGGCGAAGACGTCGTCACAGCGACAGGAATCAAGGTTCGCTTGGACAGTCTGAAGCTTGATGTGCACCAGAGACGTGAGCAGGTTAAGACACTGGCAAAGGGACGCCTCAAGCAGACCCAGGCGAGCGCCATGCGGATTAACCAGGCCGAGCTAGATTTGCAAGCTGCAGATTTTAGAGCTGTTTCGGCTAGTATTGAAGGGACAAACTTGGATGATATTGAGCAAAACAAGAACGACATTATCTCGTCGTTCCAGCAGCCTGTGCCCTCCGTCGATCTTTCCCGATTTACGATCCCGGATCACAATCTCGATTGGATCGATATGGATGATTTCGTGGAGCTGGATTGGATCCTTCCTCAAGAGTCGAACCCACGAACGCAGATTTTGCCATTGGCATTTACACCACGGTTTACTTATTTCCGCCAGACAGATCATGGCGACATAAGTTCAGACGAGACAGGCTACAGTACATTCGGCAATGAGCCTACCCACGCATGTGTCATGTCCGAGAGTAATGAACCACGCAGAGTGCAAATGCAGTTAATCAGAGAGCGTCTTGCTCATGTTGAAACGCAGATCCAGGATTGGGAACGCACAATTGGAGAGCAAGAACTTCGCATGGCCAAGGATGTTGATCAGGATCCTTCATTACGTACGGACCATGAGAACTATATCAAGCAGGCGCAATCTCTCGCTCGGCGGCGGGCTTTCCTTGCCTCTGCACTTCAGCGTCTCGAGCGGCAACTCGCTCGAGAAGAAATAAGCTCAACAAAAACAAGCCCTGAAACCGTCGCTGCTGATGTTACCAACCGAGTAGGGACAGATGCAGACTCGAGTAACGATGGCAAGGATGCGGATATGGATGGGCTTTATTCGTCGCCCCACGACGAGTTTTCCACCAATTTCAACAATCGTTTCATAATACACAATACTCAGCTAAAATGGAACAACTCACTGAGGAACATCATATTGCGTTACAGTCACCAGGTGAGCCAGAGGCGTGGATTTGTGTATTACATGTCTCGAAGGGCAGTCAAATTTATTCTCGATATCGTCGACGAACAAAGCAAGAACCAGCGGAGGCATTCCAAGTTGTTCAAAAGTGCGTCGAGACGTCCCTCTGACATCCGCGGGCTTGTGGATAACGAAGAGGACGGAACCGTGGAAGATCGTATCGAGCAACTACTGAACGATGCGAAACGTTTTGTAAATGCCGACGAACAAGAGGACTCTGACCACAAGAAACAAGACAGCTCAAAGTCCGATGATTCTAGTCAGGATATTTCACCGGAATTCACACCGCAAAATAGCTATCACTTGCGGCTTATCGCTCCTCAGATCCAGCTCCAAAGCGAGAAGAACCAAAAGTCTGTGGTATTGGTTGCTGCGAAGGGCATGCAGCTGAAGGTCGTGTCAATCATGGACAAGGAACGTGTTTCTGACGATGTCAGTGGCCTGGTACAGCGCCGCTTCTCCCTCGAAATGGATGGTGCTCAATTCTTCGTTGCAACGCAAAAGAATTTGATGAAACATTTGCAGTTCTACGCAGGCAACAAGTACGGCAATTCTCCAGGCTCAGCATGGCCGCCTTGGTTGACTATCGAAGCGATGTTTGATTTTGAATTGAATCCATTTGGTTTCTCGAGGATTGTTCAGAAGACTTCTGCCAGCTTGAGATACGACAAGTATAACAATCTTCGTCTGAAGTATAACGAAGAAGTGGCAAAGGGACAGCCTGATCACGAGCATAGTCTCCGCAGTGAGGAATCTAGAATAGATCAAATCAGCGTCGAATTCCCTCACTTCCGCGCTATCTGCGACTCGGCTGAATACTACTCTATGTACATTATTGTCCTTGATTTGCTGCTTTACAGCGAGCCTCTGGAGAAAGTCCGAAATGAGCGCCTTGAGAGAATCATGCTCAGTTCTGACTTCAGCGACCTTAGAGGCGCACCGGAGATGGTGTTTAAACTGCAGTCTCGAATTCGGCATCTGGAAGAGATCAAGGAGCATTTCCAAATTCATGCCAAATATCTGGACAAACAGGGCTGGGAAGATCGCATGGAGCTCGAAAAGGACCTTTCTCAATGCGAAGACGAGTTGTTCTTCATGATGAAAGCAATAACAACTTCTCAGCGCAGAATTGATCCGACAATGTCTGGGGCCCATGGCCTCATGCGTTGGAACATATCAGCCCACGAAGTTGTCTGGCACCTTATGAAGGACGAAACCGAACCATTAGTCGAGTTCCAGCTACGAAATGCCGAATATGAACGTACTGACAATAGTGATGGGTCTAACCACAATCTCGTAGCAGTCGAACGACTGTATGGATTGAACCTTCTTCCGGATGCCATCTACCCTCAAATCATTGTGCCGTATCTCGACCAAGCCAAGCCTCTGGACTCACCGGATGATTACATGATCAAGGTTAAGTGGCATATGCTTGAAGCTGTTGCCGGTATCCCTGTTTTGGATAATTTTGAGGTGTCACTCTTCCCGCTTAAGATTCAATTGGAGCGTGAGCTTGGCCAAAAGGTCTTCGAGTACATATTCCCTAATGTTGGAGCGAGTGCGTTTGAAAACGGGGGCTTTTCACCCTTGATGATCAAGAATATGAAACCACTAGAAGATTCCGACGAAGAAGATGAGGAGGCGGAAAGTCCTGTCCCGCCTCGAAGCGCCCATAGCAACACGGATGTCTCAACAGTAGACTCGCAGAAGGGACCGGGCGCTATCGAACTGAGGTTACAGCCGACGTTCACGTCATCTGACGATGCTAGACCGCGGTCGGCACGCTCTAGTCATCTGAAAGGCCTCGCCATGACGCCCCTCCATAAGGATAGCAACCGACTTGGTCCCTCCGAACCTTCTCGTCAGACAGGGCGTCCGTCAACCAGTGGCGGTTTATCTACTAAGAGATCCGCGGACAGTTTACGATTGCTATCGAGACAAGGCACGGACAAAACCCTTGCAAATGGCTCGAGCACCAGCGTTGGTGAAGATAAAGGGAAGAAGTTCGGTTTAGCCAAGCTACCCAATAGGAGCAAGTCCAAAGCAGCCACCGACGATCTATCCCAGATGATGTCTCGCGCATCGAATTACATGACGCTAGCTCATGTGAAGGTGCGGGATGTTGTACTTTGCTTGAGCTACAAAGGCAAAGGAGATCATAACCTGGAGGATATTCACGACTTCGTCTTCCGTTTGCCAATTCTGGAATATCGGAACAAAACATGGTCTAACTTGGACTTGGCTTTGCGACTGAAGAAAGACGTCATCAAGGCTCTTATCTCCCACGCACCTGCAATACTTGGGAATAAATTCTCACATCATCGTCCTACGAAACAACAGCAGAAAAAGTATCGCGATATAGCGAACTCTTCTCAGCTGCTTCACAACCCTGATAGTGCGGCAATCACGATATCTGATAAAAGTCAGACAAGCCAGGACTCGAACAGCGAATACTCAGAGTCACAGTCGCAGAGATCTGTTCATTCCGGAAGCTCTCGACTCGTTCGTTCAAATTCCTTAGGGTCCAGTATGCTTAGCATTGAGCAAAGCGGCCTAATGTCTGATGCTCGATCTGCAAGCGAAGTCGACGTGGATGCTCGTTGGGAGGTTAGTGTTGAATGATTTTAATAATACTAGGAATGTCGCTAACCTGTGTGCAGCAATCTCGCAGGATTGTGAATCCTCCATCCCGTCCTATGACTTCAGGGACTGCAATTGCCCGTTCCGAAACTAAGCGCTGGGATGGGGCAGATGAGGGGTGAGCTGTATTCGTACTGGACTGAGGAGAGTGCTTGTGCTGACTGCGATTTAGTCACAAAATGACGATCCGTAACTTTGGCCGGAAATTGATGCCGTCCCGGAAGTAATTGTCCCACAGAGAGGACGTGTATTATGGCATCACAACCATGCCAGATGGGCAGAACAAGCTGAGCTTCCCTGGCCGTTTAACCTTCTTATCCTCTATTTTCTACGTCACACTCTCGTGACCTGCCATTTCTTGCTACTTGATACCCCAAATGCAATGGGTCGTATATAGGCGTCATCTGTTTCACTGACTTCATATTATAAAACATGTCTTGATTTGTTGTGTCAATCCTATCCTGCTTGGCTAATTGTGACATTTTTGCCCTTGCTCTGTCGTTCTTGTTATGGGCTGGCTCGAGCAATGAGCTCGAGCCTCCTTTGCTGTGTATGCTTTTTCTCTTTCTTTCCTTTATCTATTACTGCCATTCCATGGGACCAGGGGCGTATCAGATGGCCTCTACCAGGTTATCTGAGAGTCACTGGAGACAGGACATATACATGCATCGGGTATATATCTAGGCAGGTGTAAAGATACACGGTGTATTGGAAGGGATATGAGCGTATTCTTGTACATTAAAATACATTCGACAGTTCGATAGCTATCCATCTCATTTATTAGCTTTTCAAACATATATTTTCCACCGAAGACAAGTAATATTTCCTTCATCAAGCCCCGTTCTCAGAGCGAATAACTTATCTATAGAACCCAATCACAAGCCCATCGTCACCATACGGAAACAGACCAAATATATCCTTATCCACTCTGACCAACAGCATTTATGGCCTTTTCACAAATCTGCTTAATCTGGCCCCACCTACTAAGCAACATCTCCAACCTCCCCTTCTCCCACTTCTTCCCATCACTGCTACGTCTCCTAGACCCACCCAACCTCTCCAACATAGACCCAATAATCTCCATCGTCCTCTCACACTCCTCAAGATAAACCCCAATCCAACCCCGAATCACCTCCGCCGATTTCTCCACATCAAAGGCCCGTTTCGACCGGCCCTCGATATAAATCCGGAAGTCCCGCTTAGACATGTATTTGAGACAGGCGGCTGTTTCGATCCTGGCGTCTACGCCAGTTTCTGTGACTTCGAAGTTGCTTTTTGGGGAGTTTTTTTATTAGCATCAAGGGAGATATAGGGGGATGGCGAGGGGCCATGGTGAGAGAGTGGGACGTTGACGTACCCGAAACAGTCTTGATGGACTAATTCTTTTTTGTCCGTTATTGTTAGGTCTTGGAAGATTATGTCGTCTAGGTATATTGAGTCGGATTCGTTATTGTCGAGGAAGAAGCCGTCTATGGATATCTCTTTTTGTTAGAGGAATGTAAAGGGGGGGGGGGGGGGTGGAGTTAGGGGTTAGGTAAAGGGAGCTGACATTCGACGAAGAGGAAGTCGTTCGAGTGGGCGCCGTAGCTCATGTAGACTTCTGAGCCTTTTTCTGTTGGGGGTGTTTAGTTTTATTCGGGAATCCTCTTCTACCGTAGTTTAGGTAAATGGGGCTGGGGTTGAAGTTTACCGTATCGTTCGGTTGCTCGGAATGTGTAGTCGATATGGTCGAATCTGACTTCACATGCCTTCTTTATCTGTTAGATAGGGAAATTAAGAAGTAAGTGAAAGGATGAGTGGACTAACCGCGTTATCCTCGTGATTGAAATAATCAGCATAAGGAACCATGGCGATGGCGTCGTTCCAATCCTCCGGTTCGTCCTTTCCGGGGGATATATAGTAGAAGCTTCTTGAGTTGATGATGAGCCAGTAATATGCGAATGTCTTCCACTCCGTTTTAGGGAACACGGAGAGAACCTGTTCCCAGGCGTGTCTGAGTCGCTTTTCCTCTTGCGCGAGCATGTTCTGATACCTGGTGTCGTAGTCGACGCCTACGGGTACCTTTTCGAAAGAATTCCATAGCCCAGATACAGAAGGGGGGAGAAGACTTGGTGTCGAGGAATTGTCCTCGTCTTCATAGGCGGAGTTTGATCGTCGGAGATGAGCTGGCCATAGTATAGGCGTGCTATCCTCGAGCTCCTGCCAGTTTGGCCAGACGTTGCGCCAGGCGTCTATCTCTTTCAGGGTTTTGACGTCCCCGTGCGTGAGATATGCGGCTAGAATGCCGTGGATGGATGTTCCATCTGGGAAGAGATCCACGAATGAAGACGGGATGGAGTCAATGGATAGCATTGCCGTTTGTGGGACGGTGAGCATAATTTCCCCCTTCTGTTTCATAATAGCTTGTCAATCATTGTAGCGAAGTTGTACGGTCATGTTTGTTGACCTACTCACTTCTATGGTCTTCGTTGCGATCATTCCTAACCGGCGGCCGGGAAATCGAGCTGGCGCTATGCCGTTGATCTCGATCCCTTTCGAGATGGCCCATTTTGTGAAGGCGCAATGTTCTTCACCCGGCGATTCGTCCATCTCTGCTGCTGATTCTTCTACTGCTGGAGAATGTTGATATGTCTAGGTAGACTCGTCGTGAATGTATGTTGACAGTAACTGCCTCGATTCTGACCAATCACAGTGTCTAATTTCCCGGAATAGATTACATAAGCCGACGGAAATTCCGTGATTTCTCATCAAAAAATCTCCAAGGGTTACTGAGAAGCTACATTCACGGCAGAGGAAACTCGTCCGGTGACAAGTCGTCGCGATGGCTTCTGAACCAGTCGCATCGGGGCCCGGCGAGGCCAACTCGGAGAATCCCGCAATGACAACCCCAGACTCTAAGATCGATCATGCCGCTTCCATCCGATACTGGAATAGCGTTGCTGCCAACTCCAATACCATGCTGGGCATGCTGGGGAGTTACCCATGGTATACACGCATTGATCTACGCGGTTCGAAAAGCTTTCTTTCTAAGGTCCGACGATTGGTGCCCGGTTGCACCACCGAAGGGAAATTGAAGCTGGGAGCTGACTGCGGTGCGGGGGTGGGGCGCGTAACGGAGGGGTTCCTCAAGGACGTATGCGAAACCGTGGATGCAGTCGAGCCGGTCGAGAAATTCACCCAGGTTATACGTGACAGCGCTCTGAAGCGCGCTGGTGTTGTGGGCGATATTTATACCGTCGGGTTGGAGGGGTGGTATCCGGAGAAGAAATATGACCTGATTTGGACTCAATTCTGCGTGGGACATTTAACGGATGCCCAGTTGGTTGAATACTTTGTGCGGTGTCGCGAATCTCTGAGAGAGACGGGAATTGTGGTAGTCAAGGAGAATCAATCGACTGATCCCAATGGAAACGACATGTATGATGACGAGGATAGTAGCGTGACAAGGACGGATGAGAAGTTCAAAGAGATCTTCAAGCAGGCCGGGTTGATTGTTGTCACGTCTGAATTGCAGCTCGGGTTCCCGAAGAACTTCAAGCTGCTTCCTGTGAGGTTCTATGCTCTGCGGCCGAAGAGTTGAACTCACTTTCCAGCATTGTGATGGGCCTCTTAAACCCAGGAGTTAGATATCGGAGTCTCTGGATATTGCCAACGGTTTTGCAAAGCGGGCGAAACAGTGCGATGTCTGGTATCCTTAGTTCTTTGCTTGGTATCCCTATTTGCTAATGCCAAGCTCATGCGCATGGGCAATCCGCCGCGTACTGATGCCCTACGGAACCATGCGCCGCTTTGGACCCGGCTGATATTCGATGTGACTGACTCATTAACCGTTCAAGATACGACGGATTCTGACGGGAGCGGTCATTTCAAGATTGGCTAGCAGCCTCATTAACAGCTAGACGCAAACATTGGGCAAAAATATACATTGACCTGAATACATTAGAGCTAGGGTATCTATATAAAATACATTGGATACATGTGGGACTTAAAAGCATATCGTCGTTAACCTTGCTGTTCACAACTTGCGCCTTTTTGTCACGCAGAATATTGAATCACACGTTGGAATGGCCATCAGACGGGGTAGATTGCGTCGAGGGCTTTTCCTTGTTTTTCTCGCGGCCCCAAGGCCACAGATGTTCGTGTATCGACTCGAGTCGAGTCCGATCAGCCGGCGCGCTAATATCATCCGTGTAGGGAATGCCTCCTTGGCCGCGGTTTTCGGCCCATGCTTTCTTCTCGCGACGAAGATCACTTTGGACCCACGGGATGGTGATGAGCGTCCAGATGCCGGCCCAAACGAATGGTAAGGACCATCCAAGCTATGAAGAACGTGTTCGTCAGCTTTCCATATAATCGCTAACAGCGGAATGAGCGAGTTACCGTGTACGCAACAGGCTTCGGTGTCGTAAAGACAATTGCAGTGATGACAGCAGCGAAAACAATAGAGCCCCCGGCCCAGAAACAGTTCATTTGAAAGAGCATCCGGCGGAAGTATGGGCTGGAAAGGTACCGGACTCGAAGGGCATACCGGTATTTCTGGCCCCCGCCCCCATCCACTGCTACCACATCTTCGATCATAACATATAGAGCCGTGGGCATCGTAGACCCCTTTGGGGTCGAGGAAATCCGGAAAGGGGCCTTGAACCCTAGCACGCGGAGAACATCGAGGGTCAAGTAGACACCACCGAAGTAAAACATGACGCTCGGGAGGACCATAGCTACTAGTCGCACTATAGATGTGTAAGTATGGGTGAGCGCAATAAACGGGAGGGGACGTTACCATAGGGTTCCTCCTGGACCGTTCCTCTGGGTTCTTGTAAGTATACAAAACAGCAAGCATCAGAACAGTGAATACTTCCAAAACTTACACAATAAGTTCAACCGCGAGGATCAACCAGACAATGGTGAAATTAATATGGAAGAAGTCCAGCTGCGAATGGAATGTCAGTTCCAGATAATTTATACCCTCGGGGTATTTTGATCAAGCCTACCCATGATTTTCGTGCATTCAACGGCCGAGCGCGAGAATCCTTTCGGAATAAGTTGTAGAGCCGGTAGAAGTATTCAAACACAGAAATTCCTCCCAATGCAGCTGTCACAATGGTAAAAACTAATTGCACGAGTTGGTTAGCACGTAGGCCATGTCTGTGTATACACAGTAAACACTATGCAAGGGACATACCTAAATTATGCGACAAGTTTGTGCCATACCACAGACCGAAGTAGAGTGCCACAGGCTGAGCGAGGGTGTCAAAAACGAATAATATCCAAAAAAATGCGATTGACTTCTTTCGTGTCCGAAGTGAGTAAGGGAGCGGCGGAGGTTCTAAAGGGTTGATACTGGCGGTTCCTTCTTCCATCGCTATAGCCCTAGCGATGGTGAGGATATGCGGAGATTAACTGGGGTTCGGCAAGTATTGTTGCTGATAGAGATCAATGGAAGGGAGATTGTCATGCAACGGGATTCATGGTGTGATCGAAGAATGGTAGAAATGATACGAGTGTGATGAGTGGCGAGGAACGGGGGCTGAGTATTGCCGCAGTCCATGCGCGTTGGGATTGGTGATAGTTTAAGTTATTTGGGATGCAACCAATACATTGAGTGCATCAAGAATGGTAGAATATTGTTCTATGTCGAGAAAGAGAAAAAGAACCGGGAAACGCATGGAGTTATTTTTTTTTTTTGGTCTGGCTGTCAAGTATTAGACTTTTTTCCGCTTTTTGGGTTGAACAATCAAGGTGCCTGACGTAACCGGAACCCCGTGATGTCATTCGACATCTGTATGAGAATACAAAGTGTATGTTTGGTTAATGAGTTAAATGTCCAAGGCGGTATGCCGAGGAACAAAATCAACAACACCATCTCTGATTATCTTTCCCTCCGACAAATAACCATAAAATACCTTACACTGTTCATACCTGCCTGACCATCGGAGTGCATAAGGTATTATCTTCCGTAGGATCAAAAAATCGAAGAAAGTTTTGGATATTATTGGTTCCGTTTATTGTTATCGGCGGTTGATTGTCGCCGAACTTCCGATGACTGTGCCGATTCAAAAAGTATCTACTTGTACTCCGTACATACATCCCTCAATAGGTATACCTGAGTTCGAGAGTTGATCGACTTGTCAAGGGGATGTTCGGATGAATCGATGTATCAGACCGAAATTTGTTAGTACTATTGAAACAAGTAAGAGTGGAAGAGATATCCTCAAAATTCTTTGATTTTCGGTTTTGTAGAATTGCTCGTTCTGTACAGAGTAGAATTTCAGGTAAAAGTTGGAACTTGGATAAGGTAAACGGCGAACCCGGTCTAGCCGGCCGATCAGCGACGATCCATTCGGATGATGCATGAGGTGCGTTATGCCGAGAAATCGAATGCTGTATGACTAATTATGATAGTATATTGTGCAGCGGATTCGAGTAACACTGATTGTGTATCCTGAACCGCCTTGGATTAGTGGACAGCGAGTGAATCCTTATCTTTTTATCCCTTCTCGTTAAGTTTGAAGGGACTGAGAGGTGCTACTACCAGATTTTAACCTCATTCGGAAATGCAGACATTATATCACTTAATGCCTGAGAAACATGGCATCAGTCACGTGCTGAAAGACCCGCCACCCCCACTAATTTGCTGCACACAATTTTCGCTCCACGGCGATGGTTCGAATCTCGCGCTCAACGTGTCGAAGGCTTGTCAATTTTCTTTTTGCGACGGAGAGATTATCGCCCAGGTGATAAGTTGAGATTCAATGGGGGCTTGACAAAAAAATTTTTTTTTATCCCACCCCTTCCCTTACCTATTGGCCGCGATTAAGCCATGTAAATAGGATGGCCCCTAGTCTACGAGAACTGATTGATTTTCTCCTGGCAGAGATTGCCCTCTGCGGTGATCAAGGTCAGTTCGTGGTCTTTCTTTGTGTTATTGTTGCGAGGGTCCACTACTGCAGCACCGACTCTAATTTTGGCAATTTGATATCAAAACCCCTGCATCCTCCTTCTGCTGGCGCTTGGGTTAAAACTCTCTTTTTATTTCCAACTTTAAATAAACACCATTGGATGTACCATCATAAGTATAAGCAGACTAACATACTCCAGGCGCTTCTCCTTCCGATATCTTGACGTTCATCAATACTTTCTATGCCAAGGCTGCACACGATGCATCCACCCGCAGCCATGTTGTCGACCGCAGATTCCAGGAGAAAGTCTGGTCGTGGTTAGCAAGAAACCCCGAAGTTTCTATTGGCGAAAATAGAGAATGCAATGCTCTGAGTCTTAGTGACGTAGAACGCCGTGTTAATGATGCACCCGGCTCTGAGAATACCGCCCAAAATCCAATCCGTGTTTTTGTCTCAAAGGAGAGGACATGGCTTGCCATCACAGGCCATGAACCAGACGAGAACAAACTTCTTGCCACAGAATTTGCTCTACTATCTATCATCGCATCGCGCAAGTCAAATGGTATTGCCCAAACGGAATTGGTGAAACTGAGCGGCCAAGACAAGCGCTCAGTCCCCAAGCGAACGGACCAACTGCAGCAAAAAGGCTACATTGAGAAGAGGGCTATCCAGATCAAATCAACCCGAACTAGTCTTTGCACCCTACGTAAATTTATGCAAGCAGAGCAATCATCTACAGAAACAACAAAAGATCAATCCTCGGGGCAACCACAAGTGATCGACTATAAGGAATTCAGCAAGCAGCTTTTCAATATCCTTCGGGAGCATGAGATCATTTCCCGTGTCGATCTTAAGAAAATCCTCGGCTTTGCCGATAGATGGCGGTGGCGTATCCTCTCTCGTGCTCTGCGGAAATTTGAACGCATAGGTGTCTTAAAGCGTGTCAAGGCCATGTCGCAGTTTTCTGAGAATGATAAACATTATTTTGCTTGCGTGAAGCTGATACGAGAGCCGACCGAAAAGGATCTGGAGTTATTCCATGAATTCAGTCGAGGGATCTCAACTAATCTAGAGCAGGATGATAATGCGGAACTTGATGAAGATGTCGAGCCCACTGATGCGACTAGGGAATCTCCTTTGCTGAACAATGGTGAAACGCTCAATGTGATGAAAAAAGAGGAGGATACAGATGAAGCTGGTCGGATTCTTCCTCTTTGGACTCCAGACCAGACAATCCACAACCTGATCCTTGACGTTGTTGAAAATGCGGGGACCGAGGGCATTATGAACCAGGTGCGTTAGATTGAAGAAAGAAAAGGGGAAAACAAAAGGAACTACCTGCTATCCCTGAAGGAATGTAATCTGACGTACCATCCCAGCAAATCATTAGGAAATGCTTTGGTGGTTTCTACCGTCGGCCACTGGAGAACACAATGAGTCGCCTGGTAGAATGTTGGCAGCTATCACAACCATTGCACCTACGCCACATGGCTATTGTACGAGACACGGTACTCAACCGCACTATAACCCAGTATAATCATTTCACCGCAACAAACTTTGCAAAGCTTGTTGAGGCGGGCGAGTCAGCCTGGGAAGCTGTTGAATTCACCCCGAAAAATCCGAAGGTGGACAAGATTCGCCCACCACCTGTTGACGCACAGCCCGAGCTGGACGAGTATGGACTACCCGTAGCTGTTCCTGTGAAAGAGCTCTTGAAAAATGGCGATGTTTCTCTTCTGCAATGCATAGTGGCAGTTGACCCGTCAAGCTACAATGCCACCAACACTGACGCCGCAGCTATTCGGCTTAAAGATGGAACATACGGTGGGTTGCTCTAAACCTGAGGAACGATGTTGTTATCTAAAGCACTAACAATTCTTAGCACTCCACTGCGGGCAAACCAAGGCGCCAGCGGGAAGTAGAAATGTTGCTGCAAGTTCTGACATAGTAACCCCGATCCGACCGAAAAGAGCACGTCTAGATGCATCAGATTCGGAGATGGGCAGTAACGCCCTAGGAAGCCCTGTCTCGACTATTAAACGTCGGAAAGGACCAAGGGATGAGTCTGAAAAGTTCCAAGGAATGTCTGAGATCGAGAAGCTTAGAGCTCTTGGTTTGGATGAGACTTGGACTGAATACAGCGCTCTGTTGATTGAACGCCCGAATTCTGGAGTTTATGTCACACCACGTGGAAGGCGAAGACCTACTGGTAAAAGACAAGGTCGTCCAAGGATCAGTCGGATTGCTGTATTCAAGTCCCAGAAGCTTTTGTCCTTTCCCTGGTTTACTGAAGAGGCTGAAGCAGGCTGCCAAGACAGCGGATCACAACGTCACTCTCGGGAACAGACTGTCGAAGAGACTGTCGAAAAAACGCCTGTTCCCACAGCTGCCACGACGGGCAAGGCCATGGATGCTCCCTCTGAAGATATGAATGCCACACCTTCCCGAGGTATCAAAAGACACTCAAGGCAGCCCACATCTAAACTTGGACCAAGCCCAGCGACTATGCGCACTGTAAAACAGCGACGCATTACCGACTTTACTACTAAGCCTAATAATGTTCCTATGACAGATACTGGAAATCCTAAGGGTGCTCCAGCTGGAGACCCGAGACAGGATAAGCCTGATGTTGGCAACGATGATAAAGCCCAAGGAAAGCAATTGAAACGGAAGCGGGCCGAGTCACCAAGCCAGTCTAGCCAAGGGGTTATAACTGAGAAATGTCTAAGAGAGAGCAACGTTCATGCATCACAGGTCCTAGAGACACCGTCTAAGAAGCCTCGCGAAGCAGTCCGAAATGAGGGAAACAAAGACGCTACAGGCGCTAAAGACAACCCCCCAACGGATCAAGCGCCTGTTAGCGACTTAAATGGCTCGACACCAATGGAGACAGAGGAAAGTGCCGCCGAGACAGATAGAATTGCAATGAACATGACACCGGCATCTCAGACTGTTCTCGAGAGTAATCATGGCCAAGAAGTCAACGCCAATCCATTGGGACACCCCAAGGATGCCAATGGTTTGAGCGGAGCCCCGATAAATATGGAAGCACAGGCTGAGAGCAGCAAATCAAGAGAAAGTGTGAAGGAAAAGAAAGGGTCTGTCGGTTTCATTCGGCGAAAGATCATCTTGGACATCGTCGAAAAAGCTGGCGGGGCATTCCCCATGGGAACTGAGATCTGGTACCCATTCGCGACTGCGTGGAGGAAGACAAAGTACAAAGAAACCCCTGATCTTCGTACGATCAAAGCAACTGTGAAACACATAATTGATGCTGGAAAGCTTCGCCAATTAACCTTTAGTGGCAAGGATAACAAAGGAGTCATGGTAACAAAGAATATCATAATCAAACCTGACGTGCGGCCGGATGACCCTCTGGTTATGGATATGCAGAAAAAGATGCTGGCTGCAGGCTCCCGCCATTACATTCCAGATAATGTCGACTACGATCCCGAAATGACAAAGACTGGCGCAAGGAGAGTCACTTTTGGAAAAGATGGCAGAGACCCCAACACGTATTCCAAACTCCCTGTTGAGTCAGCGCTCACAGTACAATTGCAGTATAAACCAGGCTTTGTTGTAGCCCAGGAGAAGAGGAAGGGTCTGAGCGTTCAGAGGCGACTGCTGCAGAGGATTGGGGAGGGGAAGGAAAATCATTCAAAAGTGGTTCGACTCTTATCACTCCAGCGACCGGTGGCACGAGACTCTGCTATTCCTGGAATGACTGCTGCTGCAAGACCTGATCAAATAGCCAACCAAGGTAGAAAGCGGATCAAAGCGGGACGTCGATCTTCCGGACTTCAAGCGCAGGACGGCTCGACCGCCGAAGGTGGCCGGAGAATGAGACGCCTTTGGATTCCCATATCGTCTATGGCTCCATACGCGATGCTGATGAACTCAAGGCAGACGTTCAATGCAAATACAGGAACCTTCTCAACAGATGGAGGCCTTGCTGCTCTGCGGGCTGCAAGGCATGACCAGAAGAAGAAAGTGCGCGAGTCACCGCGTGCTCTTGAGATCATGAGCGACAAAACACCAGAGCTGCCTCATTCGCTTGACGACCTGTTTAGCCAGACACGGCGACGCACCGTTGATTATTCCGAAAGTGCAGACCCCCGATCGAACCGGTTCTTTTATGATACGAATGTGATTATGCGATGGGAGCTTCAAAACGAAGGGCTGCTTGACAAGAAGAGCACAGATCTTTGGTACATCAACCAGACAGTGCAGGATAGTTTTGATAGCGCTCCAATGCAGGGTGACATACGATTTGACATTGATGAACCGGAGCTTCCAACGCGCCCCCCGCTAGAGCCGAGGGTTACTAGACAAAGGGGGCGCCAAACCGATTTGCCTGCGCAACCTGGCACTTTGGGCGCAACGACGCTTCTCGAACCTAACCGAATCCCGATTTCTCGGACACTGGCCCCTGGAATAGCGCGGAACCGTCGCTTGGAGAAACTCACTGCATCAATGGCAGCTGGCAATGAGTCCGATACAACATTACAACCCACTGGATCTCGAGCGCCTGCTCGCCGGAATCGCACTGGTTATCAATTGCCGCACTTGCTGACTCAAAGGATCATGGTTGCGATTGTTGTAGTTCGTGCCTTAGCTGGGGGTTATGAAGGTAAGGTCGTCGACTGGGCACTCTTCTCTAGCAGCTTTCCGGCCCATGATCCGCTTTTCATCCAAGCAAAAGGGAAGTATGTGTTGAGCAAGAACCGGCTCCAGTTGGCGAAAATGCAGAGCGACTTCCAAGAGCGTTATCTTGAAGCATACGTCAATGGCCGAGTTCCTCCGATCAATTATGATGATCTTGAGGGGTATGATTGGGAATGGATCGTCGATTGGGCAAACGCCCAGCTCGATGTCCCCAAGTCCGAAAAGCTTCTTCCGGACCTCCCTGCTACAAGAAAGCAATTCGACAGTGTATTTGAGATTCGCGAGGAACCGCCGAGCACTCTGGATGATATCTATCAGACCACTCAGCCATTGACCATCAATCGCAAGCGTAACCTTTTTGCGAGCGTTTCATTCGCCCTCCCTCTGATCGACAAGCACAAGCCGCTTGCCCCTCGGAAGCAGGACCTTTCTCGCTTGGAAGTGGTCAAATCATGGATTCGGGCCAACGTCGTTACTCCGGAGGAGGCCTACAGACCCGCTGAGGCACGACAAGCACTGTCATACATGGGAAGTTTTATAGATAGCGCCATCGATTCGTTAGTAACAGAGAGAATCATATCAATGGGTAACAGAGGCAGGATCACGCCGGGCCGGAACTTCGACATCACAGACCACTTCCTCCAGGCATTGGGACGCAAGCGATTGATTGAAAGCACCCAGCTCCGACGGGCAGCCAGATTCAAAACGCAAATGCTCGACCCAGCACTACAATCCGAAGGCAAATTTGAGATTAAATACCATGCCGAAGACGGCGATATACTAGCAATGATCAACCTAGTGGCCACGCGCAGAGTTATCCTGAGACCGCGGGATCCTCCACGCGATAAATACGGGTTAACAGAGGGTGGCTACCTGACCAGACAAATAGACAAGGACAAGCTCCGCTTTGGAGTTGAGCTGTACCCAGTTGCAGAAAACTACGTGTACGGGAACCCGATTGAGAAGGAACTCAACGATGTTCCGGCGCCCTGTCCGCCGCGAGCCACCAACAACGGGGTGGCCTGGGTACCCGAAAAAATCCCTGTATGGTGCGATATACACGGTGGCTTCATCAAGCTCCTGTGGGATTTGGCCGTTGCGGCAGTAGCGGGTTGTGTTGCCAACCGACCGGGGCTCAGCGCCGCAAGCATTGCCAGCATGATCAAACCTACGATGGGAGCATGGGAAATCGAGCTCCTGCTAAAATGGATGACAGAGATCGGGGTCATGCGAAAGGAAGGCCCAAATGGCGAAAAAGAAGCTGGATGGATACTCCAAGAATGGTGGTGGATGATCCTACGCTAGTTAACCTCGTCTATCCCGCTATATTTGAAGATGTACAGTACTATATTCTTCGTTATTTAACCATGAAGATTAATTATACACCCATACCATGTATCCTGTCGCCTAATAATACACGCCACCCGTGCAACATTCCAAATCGGAACCACTGCACCACAGTTTCAAGCCCCAGGCCTTACACTGGCGCAGTGGATATGAAAAGACGCCTTACATGCAGCCCTAAACCGTTATCCAGGGCGACATCCCCATCCAACCACACGCTCCTTTTCGTACTTTTCCAATATATACTTTCCTTTGAGTTTCATCCTACTCTAGTCTTCAGACAAAGTTCGGGCAAAGGAGCACAGCATTTCCTGGGTTGCACCGGGGCGATCTAGAGCGGTCCGTGCTCTAGGGCAACGTAGCACTGGTGGTGTATTGGGCACGGTCACTAGGCCAGGGATGGTATGTCGTTCGCGTTATTTAATATCGTTGTTATAGGTGTGGTTTATTAGGAGTGTCCCTTTAATAAGGAAGAATCTTATGAAAGCCTTTCTGGAGTCTGATGCCTGTTACATTAGACATCATGGTACTGTTGAAGCTGGGAACTTAGCACTGACCCCAAGAAAAGTTACCGAGGGCATCGAAAACAACTGCCTTTTACTTTACAACCTTACTATTTCAGTTGCAGCTGGGTATAGTAGCCACTCACCTAGTCTACAGATCTAAGGCTCTGGAGGCTTTCTATTAACATAGACGAAGCAGTGATGTAAGGTCATTTACATATTGGGTATGAGTGGACATCTTGAGAGAAGTAATGGTGGAGAAGCCGCGGTATTCCAATCGCAATTTCTACTCTCGAGGAAGAAGATAGACCTGATTTATGCAGTAGTAGAGCGAAGAAGGCGCCGAAGAGTGAAGGCGGGGTAAGTGGTGTCGGGGACGATCAGAAAACTCAAACACACACACACACACACACACAACACCACCTGTGCTGTAGTGCTATATGCGACTTGTAGCAAATCTATTAGCATACCGTGTTGTGTGGTTAATCAAATTGTGGCGTAAAATACAGTCCTCGCTACTTCTGGGGGGGCAATCCTTCGGTTTCTTGATTTATGAGCGACGGGTTGGATTTCGTGAAACATGTCAAGAGAAGGTAATCGTTTGGGCGCAGAGGATTTCAATAAAGGTCGGTAAGGATCGAACCAACGAGGTCACGGGCCACTAACTCTGTGTATCATCGCAGGCTTGGAAGCTCTTGATAACGAGATGGGAAAGGATGAATGGCTCATCGCATTTGCACCTATCACTTTACTTTCCGCAGGCGGCTTCCTCGCTGTCAACTTTCTGAAAAACCGAGAAAGTACCCAAGATCTTGACTACCTCTTGGAGCCCCAGTGGGCGCATGACAACGATGTCAGGGAGCCATTGCACGATGCTATGGTTAGAGCAGCAAGAGGTATAGGCTTTATTGATGACTGGGCAAATGAAGAGATGGCATTTTTCGTCCCGGATAAGTCTAGGGAACTTTTATTCGAAGAGGCAGAGAAACAAAACCTTGTCCTGTGGGAAGGGAGCCATCTTCGAGTTCTCGCTGTGCCACTGGAGTGGGCACTAGAACGAAAGTTGAGAAGGATCCACAACGATATGCAAAGTAGTAAGCGAAAGACCGATATCAATGATGCTCTCGCACTACTGAGGCACCTGAAGATGCGGAATGGTGGCCTATTAGAAAGAGAGTATATTCGGACCTTGAATATATGCTCCACTGAAAAGGTACCTGACCACGCGACGATGGAGGAGATTGCCGCGGCCTATGGCAAGAAGTATCACGAGGAGGCGTTTGCTTAGAGATGGCCCATAGGGAACGAGAACAACGTGAGTGCGAATAGCTTCAGCAGCAGCAGCAGCAGGACTGCCAGGGTTAGACCGTGTAGAAGTGACCAGTATCAGTAACGATATTCCTCGCTGCAAACGTGGGACTCTTTCCACCTGCTTCAAGCACTAGTCTACCGGATGAGTCTAGAGCATCTGGTAAATCTGCGACCCACTCGACATCAATTGGAGGGACACGTTCGGTCCAAGACGGTGCAGTTTCCGGTGTATACGGAGGAAGCACATCCTCAAGAGTTTTACGGTAGATATGCTTGCGTTTATCACGCCGCATCCCCAGACTTAGCCGCCAATTAAATGCTTTAGCAAGCTCCTCTGCGATGGAAGCTAGGATCGCGTACCGGACAGGGTCAGGATCCCTCGGATCTGGCACGTGGCAGAGGATCCATGACCGTTGGTACCAGAAATACTCGACCTCTGGGCCTATAGCGTAGTATTCGCCCGCGGCCATGGCCTCGTAGAGACGGTACAGGGACCGGATAGGGGTATCCCTTGCGCGCCAGATGGGGACGGAACGCATGTTAGTAAGGTCTTCAGAGGCCATGCGGGACTCCAGGAGGGGAATGTTGTCTAGCATAGTTCTGGGGGGTGCTGGTTCTGGGACAGGGAAATGCCATGTTGGTAAGGGGACAAAGAGGCGGAGTAGTGCGAGAATGGGATACTTGTGTCGGTGGCTGAGACGGACGAGAGTTCCACGGAGGTGGAGTGGTGTCTCGAATGTGTAGATGAATCGGCGGAGGCGCATCCACCATGTGATTCGTGGTCGGGGGCGGTTACGAGGTGGCATTCTGCTTTCCCCTGGATGATTGATCTATATGGGGATGGAAAGGCTGTGGATTTTCAAGGTGAGATTCAGATTAGATCGATTTGATTAATTGAAGTGGTGGCAGGGTCGGCGCTATTCCCAATTCGGATGCTGCAGTTCTCACCTTCGTTGGACCTCGGACTTGATATTCCCAGTTACGAAAAGTAGTACTTGGACAATTGGTTACCTGTATTATATGTTGGTAATTTAAAAGGGATATTCTTTTAAGAAAGCCGATCAGATGCTTCATGCAAAGGTCAAGACGCTACTGGGGCGAAAGAAACCAACCCTAGACGCGTGATCGCAAAACTTGACCAACACTGCCTAACATGCAGCGTTTGTGGGGGTGTAGGAGGACATTAGATCTGGATGAATATTATGCTAGTTCGATGTCTCGCACTACCTTCGACTCCGCGTCGTCAGCCTGATACAAAGCCCGAGTATACTGTTAACACCCGCAGATCCGGAGCCCTGGTTCAGGATGATCCAGCTGTCTGAGTCTCTGGGGTCGGCTCACGACCTTCTTCGGGTGAAAAGCGCGTCTTCTATCGGTTGGCCGACTTCATAATGTGATAATTATCCGGAATTCTAAACAGGACGTGCAGCACATTCTTTGTTGACTCGGGTGAGTTTGCTTAGAGTCCTGAGCGTATGATCACATTCGCATGACCAGTAAAAAGGAGGAACGTTGGAATTTCAGGTATCGTGTTTCATCCTATCATATGATTATGACCGATTATGTCAATGTAGATCTCAGTATGTAGAATGATGTTTGATAGTGAAATAGTACTGGTCTGACTTAGTATCTTATCGTCACGATAAATATGGCCACAATGCATCTACTCAGATAGGCTAGTCACACAAAGTATGCGAGGTAGATCGGTTGCCAAACACCAGCAGAGAGCCATCTCATACGAGCTTCTTAGTCGATCGTAGTACGGTTAGTCTGTTGCACCTGCCTAGTCTGTAGCCATGAGTAACGGTCTCAATTTTGTGAAAACCTGTTTCTCCGGGCTCAGGCATAGAAACGATCCAGACCATCGACTTACCATTCGATAAGACATCGAATAGGAATACCACCTATCGAGGCCAACCCGGCCGTGTGTTTGGACAGAGCGTCCGGATGGTGCTACGGTCAGGCCTCTTGCGGAAGAGCATCCGCGATGGAACCATCATTCATTGTTGTGTTTCATTCTTACACGGACCCCTGCTTTTTCCTAATGTGTTGCTTACTTCTCTTGGAAATGGCTTATGCCTTGTGTTATAGACATCGATATACTTAAGAACCAACACTGACTTGGTACATCGTCCGTAACTACCCCATTTAGTGTAGCAGGACACCCAGTCCAAGCCCTAATATACTTCCCGCTATTCTCGTCGAATGTAATCCAATGCTCTCTACCAACAAAGTAAACAAAGAAGCCTGGGGAAAAAGTGACGAAATGAAGTGCCGGACTAGACATGAATCGGTGAATTGCCGTGGCGCCTCGAAATCCGAGCCTTGAGTTTGTGAAATTGGCATTTCTTTGTTCCCAGCTGCACCACTGCCTGCTACCAGTATTATATCAGAGAGAAATCCCCATCCATCGACCTGTACATGAAGGCTCTCTTGTTCCATGCTTCAAGTCATGAAGCTATCTCGCTTGATTCATGTCGACCCAGCAGGGTATTTTGCCCCCTCCTCCCGGGGTAGAGCCCAATTTTATCAACCCCCGGAACCAGTTTCAAGGCTGCATCCCTTTCGCAGCTTTCTACCTGACCTTTAACTCTATGGCTTTGGTGATGCGACTCTATACACGACGATTTATCATACGAGCTTCGCTTGCAATTGATGACTGTAAGTGGCTCTACCAATACACGGAAATAATATGACTGAATGGTGGTAGACCTCTGTATTATTGCCTATGTATGCAGTCCTGTCTTTGCCGGATGTTAAAGATACTAAAAGGATGGAGAGAAGGTACTATCTGTATGCTTTACAGCCACCGTTATCCATGGCAGGTAGCCCCGAGCTTCCTTTCGCGACAGAAGTTGACTGGCCTTGCAGGTCGTGCTTTTGGGATTGGACGTCACGTCTGGGATATCCCACGTAGCGCGGCTACAGACATCACGAGAGTAAGAACGAGCATCTCAACGACAGAGTTAATCGCCTTTAATAACGAGACTAGTCTACCTTCCATGGCTTCATTTCATATATCCTCTGTCTAGCCTTTTCCAAACTCACCATCCTCTGCTTTTACTACCGCCTCTTCTCCTCCCGAGCCAGCTTGAAAGTCCTGATTATTATTGGCATCATCTTCGAAGCAAGTGGAACCCTCGCCCTGGTGGCTGTCGCACACTACACCTTCACACCATTTGAGGAATTCGGGGATCCGACGGTCAAGCCAAACATCCCGCGAATAGTCCCCATTTTCTTCTCAGGGCTACTTGGTATGACAACAGATATATACGTCCTTGTGCTACCTATCCCATCGGTATTAAGATTGAAGGTATCCCTACGGCAGAAGTTGAAAGCTCTAGCCATCATTATTCTTGGAGCTAGGTGTGTACTTCCACCTCTCCAGCCTCCGCTCTTCGATCTCAATTGCAGGATGCAGTTAACGGATACACAGTGCATGCACCGCAAGTATCATACGTGTCGTTCATACCGCGAAAATGAAAGATCCCAACGTATTATGGAATGTAAAGTTCGTGGGAGGCGTGGGATATTGGGCGTAAGTCTCTCCCCGCGCATGATTATATCAGACCTCCGACTTACAATCATCACAGGAGTGCGGTCGAATGCGACCATGCCCTCCTTTGCTCATGTCTCCTCGTCCTTCCTGTCTTTATACAGCACCACTGGCCCAAAGTAGGATCGCTTTTGGGTAGACTCCGGGGCAAAAAAGGTGACTCCAGCGTGGAGGGCTCTCACTTACCGCGCACGCGCTCCTGGCCGGCCCAGGATCGGTGGAATGTTAATAACCGGGTCGACATCTATATCTTTGAGGATATTAGGCACTTGGAAAACCTGCCGAAGACGCATATTGCGATACATCCTAATCGCCAGTTGTCTTCGGTTGATATAGAGCAGGGCGAGCGATATGATCATCGATAGCTGGCTTCGTGAACTCGGGTTTGGGATGGGACTTGGTGACGTGGGTTGGATTGATGGCTATATGCTGGATACTTTCTCTGCCTACAGTTATATATGTGTATAAGTGACTGTGAATAAATTTTCAAGAACTGGAAATGGCTAGGCTGGACTTGAGAAACACTTCGTTCTCTATGTATGTTATTTGGTAAGTAGACGGATCATATACAGAGTGCGATGCATACAATTGAAAACACAGGCCTTTACGGAGAGAACCACCAATGAATAAAGAACCGTTTCTAATGAGGTGAAAGCTCTACGAATAGTGCAGAAATTGCGGCCCGGCTCTGAATTCTGCGCGGTTGAACACACAAGGATTTCTTGATTTATAATCGCCTTGATGTATCCTCTGGTAGCTAATATGATACCACCGGCACTAGAAAAATAGTTATCCTAAGGATATACAATGATAGTGTACTAGTACTTACATGACGTGGTTTACTTCACCAACTTCCAGTGACCTCCCTTACCTTCTTCATTTCTTGCATGAATTTCAGAACCCTTCACTGACATAACATTAATAAGACCTACTTAACTGCAAAGGAAAATACACTAATGAGTAAGCGAAACAACTGCATCTTCCTGGAACTTATAGCCCGCTTGTGCAACAAAACGGTGGCTTGTACTGTCCTAGTATTCAACAATGCATTCTTTATATTTGCCCTCTACAGTCTCAATGTCATCATAAGAATTGATAAGTACAGTGCTAGAGGTATATGATATATCCTGAATGAAGTATCCTGAGGAAAGCAGAAATAGGTAGTCCGGGTCATCACACCCTCATTTTACATTGGAACAGTAGGTCAAATACCCCACCCAGCCTTGCAGATATAGTACTGAGCACCACCCAAGATTGTCTCTCCACTTCTTTCAGCTGCGCCGGGTTCCGTAATGTCGATCTTGACACAAAGTATCTTAGAATTGGCTGACTGTGTTTTCTCGGTCACCCCATTGAGCTAGCCGAGCTGAACAGTGGAGTCAACGATTGTAAATGTTTAGCATCAGCATTTCTACATGTAGGGCATGCTTTATGTTCGAACCCTTTCGGATTCCACCATCAGTGATATGGGCCATTGTTTATATTCCCATGACTCTTCCAGTGGGACCATCCTAACCGACGAAACCGTAGATGTTAAACAGTAAAAGTCCATCGACATGCAGTGGAGATTTAGACCCAAGGATATCAACGCTTTAGAGCTTCTAGCTAAAATGTCCTCCTTGAAAACCTGGCGAAGGCTACTGTCTAGCCATGATAGGCAATTCCAGAAACTCCGGAGACACATCATCGTACTCTGCCCAGCCACTTTCCCCATATTCATGCGGCTTCAGCTTGACAACAAAAGCGTCTCCAGCAAAATTACGCACACCAAGAGGTCCCGGTGGAAAGTTCGTGTGTAGGGGTCGTTCGTCAAGATCAAATGAAAAGAAAACCATATACACCCCGTTACAGCCCGGAACCGGTTGGTTTTCTAGTGTGAATCTGTCTATGTCCCGCCATTTCCATGCCCGTGAAGTCTTCCAGAACTCTCGCAGATCGGGTACGTGGAATAAGAACGAGTCAGGCCCTTCACTTACCCCCTGAGATGTTGTATTGAGGGGTACCAAGTGAGGGGACGAGCCATCGGCAGGGAATCTGGCGCCTGTGATTGTGACTGATGGTGGCGTTGGACCGAAGAAGGATTCTTGAAGGTAGGCCCACATGATGGCGAGGAGAGCTATCCCAATGGGTCCTGATAGTGTCAGCGTGAACAGAAGAAGCCAAAAGAGGCGGCGGCCCGCAGAGATACTATAGAACAACGTACGGATTTGCTGTCTTCTACACAAGGAGAGTATGGTGGTTAATTATAAAGAAGCTGTTATATTTTTAGAATATACTAAGAGGCTGAATTCCTGCTCATGTCCAACCGGTAGTGGGGTAGCTTATGTAGGTTAACGTAATCCATAAGCGAGTCGAACATCACCGCCGAGCACGACCACATTCATCGTAATTGAAGCTATTCAAACCACCTAAAACTAGCAATCAATAGTTCCAATCATACATCCGAGTTGTTAGACCCACCCCCCACTATAAACATGAATTTATTGTGACCCGCCTCCTCGACTCCATCATGCATAGGGATTAGCGACTCTAGTGAAACGCTCTGGGTTTTCCATGTTATCTCTGTTGATTCATTTTGGGCAATATATATAGATATCATGACTACCCTGGAAAAAGCTTCAGTGCATCAGCTGATCCTCGATGTCGTGAAGCAGAACCCTTTTATGATTGAATATACGGCATAGTAGAATACTAACACTTCTATGAATGCGGTATAGCAGAAGTTAGAACGATGAATGCATTAGAATGCAATATCTTCACTACGCACAATCCATCCATAAGACCTCTCCATAAAGCACCCGACTTTGCCTACGAAACCTTCTACCTAAGACATCTTTTGCATAATAGTCTTCGATAAACACAACGGTCATAATCGATCGCTTCATCGAGAAACCGCAGAGAGGCGATAAAAAGGCTGAAACAACACAGTGCTCTATCACTGGTCAGGGCATTTTGCTATTTCTACAATACATGGGCCGCAGGCCAATAACTCCACTGGAGTCAGTCACCCCCAACTATGGGTTTAGGGCTACAGCGAGTCAGAAAGCCTAGCATAAAAACCTTCAACGATAAAGATATCAAGACAGCCCGGAAGCCCACATGGAAACCCGCTGTAGTTGCATCTTTCTATATCCTTCTTTCATGCTCTTCCACCCCATCACTTTCTGCCACACACGAGCACGCACTCGCTATACAATGTAAGTCCCTACATTGTCTTTGCATGGCTTTCTTAATATACTCAACACATTAGGTTGCCCAGAGATACATGACATCTAGATTGACACAAGTTAAGTACCTAGTAGTCCAAAAAGACTACCGGGCCAAGCACACGGGACATGTCAACTTACCTGTGTCAGTTACGCTGTATGCGAAAACCGCGTCCCTTGAGCTTTGCTACCTACTCATCATATTGTTGCCGCATGCTGTATAGGGGAGCTTACACGGAGAATTATTTACAGTACCCAGTAGGGCTTTACAAATCGGATGATTCTGACACAATGAATTGTCAGGTCGTTACCCAAGGTTTTAACCAAACCGGCAGTCCTATCCGGAATGCCCTGGAGAAAACGATAACAGGAGAAACGGTTCCTATAAAAGGGACTGGACGCAAGCGGCTGCGGGGTGAAACCATCGGATGTTGATTATTTCATAGAAGTTCCCCAAAGGGGACATGAACAAATAAATCGATGAGTTTTACAGTCTACCAAAGGTGTAGCAGAGAAGCCGCGACAACAACGTCTATTCGATGACGATCAGATGAGCGAGAAATGACTCAAAATGCCGCTAGAGAGGCCGAACACTTTCAAAAAATGCTCAAGGATCTCGATGTGGGCCCAGCTGATGGACTTATTTTTGCTCTGATGACCCTGCACCTAATTTCACTTTTCAGAAAGCCCGGTATACTTGAGTTTGCCACTATATGACCATTGTATGCGATTTAACTGGACTGCACGGTCAGATTGCGGAATACATGAAGCGGGATGCATGTGTGGGATGGTCCTTAACAACGTATGCTAGAACGATTTTCTTCCAAAAAATCGTATCGAACGGCAGTCCCTACTAAGGGCGCCGGTACACAGAAGAACCCTTCTATTATTGTGCAGACATGGCCACGGATGGAAAACGTCTCATTTCGCATTTCACCCGGCCAGGAACAACAACTAGACTGGAGCCTGTGTCATACAGTATATTTTGGTCACAACAGCATCGTACAGGTCGAGCCTTTGTAAGGGAGTGCTTTCTTTCTTTGATGCAACTAGCCGATACAGAGAACATTAATGGTGTCAAGTAGGCGAGCTACCGAGAGTCACCTCAGTCACTACATAGCCCATGGTCTAAAGAAGAATGCTTACGGGGCTTGAGGGACCTCCAGCAAGCTGGGTTCCTGGGCACCAGTCAGCTATCTCGCCTAACAAAGACAATATTCTTGCAGCAGGAATGCCACGATTTCATTGCGCGCGTCACTTCACCTGGTCAGAAGACCGATTTTTGTGAGCGTCTGAGCGTGAGCCTGAACTACGCACGTACCAGGTACGAAGAGCCTTACAGGCCCGTTGGAGAAGAGCTCTTCTTTCTTGTATTCTGCCAATCATCCAATAAGATGTTCCCAACTAATGGACATATCATAGCGGAATCAGCTGCATTCCTCACCGGTGTAGCAAGACCCTTCATCAGCCGCTCAAAATTGACTCGGTCCATCGGCCAAAGAGCAATATACGAAGCCTTGTGCGACGGGCAACCGGCAGTCGTTAAACCACTCTACTTGGTGAAGACAGAATTTCGGGTCTTCTCAAGGCCTTTGCCACTAACCCGGGATACCCCCTCAAGCTCTTAAATACTAGCGTTATGTTCAAGACCCCTCATATAGGGGCCGCTTGAAAAGTCAATGTGATGTTGATTACAGGCATGGAGCCAGGGGGATGAGATTGCTCAATGGTGGCAGAAAGTCCTCCTCAATCCGAACTGCGGGCCTAGGGCAATAGTGGATCATCTGCTGGATCTCGATCCGATGGACGATAAATTCCAAGGAAAGATGAAGAGTGTCTTAAGCATACTCTCTTTACCCGATGCCAAACAATGCAGTACAGTCTATGGTCGAAGAATCGATATACGAATGGTGCAAAACTGGCACAACACCGAAGCAGACAGAAGCTCGACAGTACTCGAGCCACCAAGTCGTTAATACTACGCAAACAGACCACTCATACCTCACGCATCCTCCATGCTCGGTCTAAGAGTCAATCGATGGCAACCGTCCAAGCCTGAATTCACCAGCCACCAGATATTCGTCAAGTCAGGGTGAGTAATAGCGATCGATCCGCGTTATGTGTGATTCCACTTCTATGAATTATTTACTTAACTGGTGAACAAAATCTGTAAGGAATTCGTTGATACCCCACCCCAATGCAAGGCTATTAACGACCAGTACGCATACCCGATAGATTGCTCTATGTGAGAAGACTATAGTCTTGTATAGTGATACAGTTCGGGGTGCAGAAGTCTGGCTCCTCTGAGAAGAATTAACATCTATACCACCACGGCGTTCTCTGGACTGATATCTGTTCGAGGAATTATCATCCCAGGAGACAAGTGTATGTTATTCGAGTATCTCCTCGCAGTCTGTCATTTTATCCGGCCCTCTGGTGATGTTATTAATACAGATCACCAGATTCACCAAGATAAAGCTATACCAACCAGCTTTACATTGATTCGCCGAGTTACACAGGGTTTACGTTTTCTGGATTGTGTTTACATTGTTCCAGTGCGGCAGGCGTTTTAACTACCTATCTACCTGAAAGATAGGTCTCGGTGTTTATGGCGTCATGATAGACGTTCTTGTTTGACATGGGCAATGGCGCTGGATTTCAAATATGCATATACTTTACTGTATACCCTTCATCACGGTCATTTTATGAAGGTTCCCCCGTTCTACGTTCAATATGAACAGAAGACGACCTAAATGTCTCAAAGACCCATAAGAACTACTCAGTTCCCCTTAAACACAACTACAAGCTGGATTGACCAGTTCGAACAAAGAAATATCCTGGAAGCGACCTCACTACTGTTTATTACTTCTAAGTCCATTTCTATGGGTGATACGGTACTTAAACGCCTGGGCGATAAACTAGCCAACAGATAATAGAGGGTTCGTTCCTTTCATATCCCAGGCCAGATATTTTTCTTTTTCTTTTCTTTTATTTTTCTTTTTCTTTTTTTTTTTTTTTTTCCTTCAAGAATTCACCGAGTCAAGCTTACGAACCTCAACTCATCGGGGTAGAAAACCTATCTGGTGCGTAAACAAAAAGTTTGGCTGTCCGGACATTCCACGGCCTTATATCAGGACTACTGGGACGAAGTCGAGGATCCTATTGACCCGGATGTCAAAAGTCCGCCTTCAGCGGCTCAGGTTTCCTACGTGTCATACTTACAATAGAACTATGGGTTGTGCCTGCCACAGATAGCCTCGATTGTGGAAATGCCTACGAAAAGCGATATACGCTTCAAACCTGAGCCTACCAGATCGAGTCCGCATGTTCCACGACAATCTCACTCCCGTTAATGACCAATATGGAGCCGGCGATAATACCGAATTCTGGTTAGTTGTGTCAACTACTTACACTATGACGGTTAAGATCTCGATCTCGAGACCTCCATAATGGACCGATGGCTTCAAAACTGCTGTTGTGGAAATGGACTTATTATGTCTTCAATAATCAACGAGCTCTTTCTTTTCACACGCACTCATCTCCAAGTATCACTCTCATCTGTCGTATCCATACTACTCGCTTCAACTTTTTAAACAGCTCGCCTTAACAATATTAACATAACACCTTCCAGTGTGGGCACCTACATTTTATTTTCAAGCCATGGTTAAGCGACAGCTCAAAGTCTGAAATTATAACGAGACATCACAGCCAATTTAATAAAAATAAAGCAATTGTCATTGTCATCGACGGATGCCTTTGATGTATCTAATGAAACAGACATGAGAGCCGAATGTGTGGATTCGTGTGAACACCTGCAGAGGATTATACAGGCTTATACTCAATGGGTTATTTCGGGGATCTGGCCAGGTCATCAAGGAATCAATCTAGGGTTCACGAGCAGGTCTTCCATAGCAACTTATGGGCAGCTAGTCCCTTAGAACTCTCGGGTCGTCGAGATTACTAGGATTTGAATAACAAAAACCGGCTCTCACACGGCTTGCGCCTGTCATGTTGACCAGCGAGGCCTGTAATATGATCCGGGTACTCGATGCAGTTCGAGGTACTCAGTGGGCATTCGATCATTCGCGGGGAGAAGAGAGAGAAAGTCGGGGCTCATGACTATCAGGCTTCGGCCCGTTTGTTCCACGAGCGTGATTATGAATGAACGGTTCAGCACCTATGTGGCTAGAGGAGCTTTTTGGTCTTGTGTTGTCTCTCCTGAGTTACCTTCCAAGCGGTGTACTATGGGGCTCTTCAGCGGAGCATGCGGCAGTTGTATTTGAGTGAAGCATATTTCCAGGATAAGAGACAAGGAGAGTCTTGGGATGACAAAACCAAGACGAGAATATTCGTGCAAAGGCACGTACGATAATGTCGAACCCAATAACGAGTCCGACCAACAAGAAGGCAAATCTAGCCTTTCCTAAAACCACTAGGGGTCGAGCTCATATTCCATAAATATATCTTTGAGCGCCCAAAGAGGAAGATCTTTACATGGTCTATAGAAAAGGGACTACTTCATACCCCCAACTGCGGCAGATTCTCCATTCTGGGGCCGTTGCTGGAATTATTCGAATTTACAACGTCGCACTACGAGGAAGGACACGGGGGCCAAAGCAAAAACAGCCGGTCCAGAGGAGCCATACACACAAGGAGGCAAGACTAAAAGAGGACGAACAACACCCTTGATCGTGTTGTTACTTACAGCAGTAGCACCACCACAGGTGCAGGTATGACGGGAGCTTCACTTAGTAGCTACTCCTGCTACTGCTACTAGGAGACTTGCAGTCTCGCTACGATATCAAGAGACATACCTACCGCAGGAGTTAGAGTCAATATGCCCACCCTCAAACACCCTCCACTCGCACATATAAATCTACGGACGTGGCGAGGATACATGCCCTTGTTCCAAGACCAGAAATTAGGATTGGTAGCAATTTGTTACAGGTTGGCAATTATCCTGCAACTCATCAAGAAGCAGAAGCCTCACTTTGCACGATTCCATCCGTTTTGCACGCGCGGTAACCGGTATTCTAAGATGACGAGGTCTCTTCTCTTGTTCTTTGCTTCTGTTCCTACGCACCAGCCATTGCCGCATCCCATATTCTATTTTGACCTTCGAGAAATATTCCTCTTAACTATACAAGCTCACACTACTATCAAGATGGCTAATAACATCTTGCCCAAGACTGAAAGAGAGTAGAAACGGTCCGATAGGAAATATAAGGCGAAGAACTAGAACCTGACTGACAGCCTTGGATCTCCCTTGCGATATGATTGGCTGTTATGTTGAATACATAGCAAAGCAAGGGTAGCCATGTTGTGAGTATTTCGCTCAGTATCATTATCATATACGCTCCTAGAATGGGGTAGCCCTCGTCGGTGTTCACCAAAGTATAGTGAAGTGTTAACGCTATGTTTGTTCACGATACATGCTGATTGGCGTTGACCTTGTCGAAGATACTCTTCAGGCAGTGGTGCTTGACTGTCGGGATAACTGACAAGGATTGCTAAGTTAGTGTCAGGCTTTGCTGACGCTCTGGTTAGGAGTTCATAGTTCGGTTTGCTTAACATACCATAGTATACGGCCGGGTTATAGTCTAGTAAGGGGGTGTTTCACGCAATCAAACTTCGTTTATGATGTACTCGTGTTATATCGGAGATGTCTGGCTATAAGTGGGAGTTTAACTGCGGTGAAGACGTGAAGACGATCAGCGCGTAACAGTGTCGTTTAATGCCCATTTGGGAGACTTTGAAAATGTCAATAGTAGTATAGCAGATGGCCATTGATAAAGCTATTCTTCTCTATATTCAAGTAACAGTCCAACTCCGTGCATATACATGCAGTACAGATGAAAAAGTACAATACAACCTCCTTACCCTATATTACACTATAAACCCGAATCCTACAGTTAACACCGTCCCTCCTCCAAAAGCCGCCTCGAGTGCTCAATCTCATTATGGTCAAAGCAGATACCCATGACCTTGACCATTTCTGCAGCTACAAGGAGTCAGCATACATACGTCCGCCATTTTGCAAAGTGAAAGAAAAGAAAAACCTTACCAGTCATCCTCTGCACCGACGGGTCATGCTCATCCGCTCCATTCAGTCGGGTACACTTCAAGATATAATCAACCCGCGGTTGACGTGCTTTCTCATAGATCGCAAGTCGAGAGGAGATATCCTCAGCTTTTGTACCCGGTGGGAGGAGAGTAGCTATGCTTAGGGCGTCTTCGATGGCCATTGCGGCGCCTTGGCCCATGTCTGTTTTTTGTTTTGTTAGCTTACCAAGGTAATGATCCACATCACAAACACTACTCTCAAGGAGAAAAGAGAAAAGGAACATACAAGGCTGAAACGGATGCGCCGCGTCACCCAAGAGCGCAGCTCTCCCCCTAACCCAAGTCGGCATTCTCTCCATATCAGCCAACTCCCACACTTTCAGATCATCACCCGCCATATCAATCAACCTGCGGACCGAGGGAGCGAAGCCCGAGAAGCCCTTCTCCAGGGCCGATTTGTCGCCAGCTGCTTGCCAGCCTATTTTCCATAATTAGTATACGTTTTCCAGATATGTAGATAGTAGTTTTCTGTGTCTGTGATGAGGGGGAAAAAAAGATACAGTACATACCCTCACCATACCTCCCCGATTCAGCTGTCGGCAGAAACCCGCACAGATTAAAGATCTTGTTGTTCGAACACGGATATGCAACGACTCGTCTGTCGTCGCTTGCCCATTCGACGAAAACGCCTGGGTCCCCGACTACGTCTTTTGTGGCTTCGTGGTCATTCAGATCTTCTGTTTTGAGGAGCCACCGGAATGTGGATTTTCCTACTGGGAAGGGGGAGGGGAAGTTGGGGATGATTTGGGTGCGGAGGATGGACTGGTTTGGTTAGTTTTGTTTTATTCTTACCCTAGCATAGGGGTTAACTGGTGGGCTAGAGAGGAGACGTACATGTAAACCATCTGCGCCGAGTAAAAGGTCGCAGGTAAATTCACGGCTATCGTCTAGTGTTACAGTGGGCTGGTCGCTCTCGATATCGATCTTGGTGATTTTGCATCCCAGGTGGAGGGTGGCTTGGGTTCGGTTGAGACGTTCTTTGAGGTAGTTGTGGAGGTCGACGCGGTGGACAAGGTACCATTCCTAGGGTCGTTAGTTTGATATGATGATGTTTGACCAGGTGGTCTAGGTCCAGAGGTAGAGATGTATGGACATACAGCCTGCCACTGGTGACGGATACCGGAGAGCTCTTTACAGTACTTCAGTTCCCCGTTGGAATCATATCGATGGATCTGGATGTCATCTCAGCCTGTGTCTAGCTAGAGCATCCACTACCATGATAGGCAAGTATGTCTCATACCTGTTCAATCAAAGTCCCTCCAAACTCCTTCGGATCAACATCTATCCATTGCAACATTGCTGTACAATTCGGGGGTACGTGGATAGCCGCGCCCGTTTCTCTGGCGAACTTGGATTTTTCGATGACCTGTCATATTGGGTCTGTTAATGGTGTGCTCTATCATATACTTTATGTCTTCAGTCAAAGCCATAGGAGCGTCAATGAACGCAAGTGAGTCTCGTACAGTAACATGATGACCCTGTTTGCTCAGGGCAATAGCCGCGCTGAGTCCAGCAATACCAGCACCGATAATGACGATGCGGAGAGGGGTCAGGGTGTCGTCGATTGACATTTTGGTCTTTTGCACTTCCTTATTCGACTTGTGTATACAAGTACTATAGTACATTCGACTGAAGAAAAGTGTCTACGTCGCAGTATTTATCACTACTAGTACATAGTATGTGGGCTCGGCCTTCGGACTCGGACAAGTTGTTAATTACCCCTCGGGGATAGCGAGTGGATACTTGAATTTCCTCCCATCTTGAGTTAGTCGAGATCTACATGAAAAGGTGGAGCGAATATCTGCCGGAACGACCAATTGTGGTCTGGATGGCGGAATTGGCATGGTTGACTCGGCATCTGCCGGATCAGATACTCTATATAAGTTGATGTAAGGGGGGAAATGGTGTGATAGGGAATTTGACTGAATACATGCATTTGGAGCACTACCACTCGAAAAGGGGGAGGGGCTGTAGTACTGCGGTAGGGGAATGGGAAGTGCAGGGAACTCTACAGATGAGTATTCGTTTAGCAATCAATGACCCCAGGTCGAGGATAAAATGTCTCGATTTTGAAATATCCGTTTTATACTCCATAAAATCCGCTATATTCAAAGATGGAGATAATATCAAGCAACCTGTCTTGTAAAATCACTCCAAAATACGCAATCCATTTATCCATGCAAAACGCCAACCGCTCAAAAAACCCAACACCGTTCAGAGATCCAAACATAGGTAGACCAGTAGTAACCCAAAGCCAAGCAAACCAGAATCCGAACTAGTCCTCCGAGTAGGCCATCCTTCTAAGAATCATAAACACCAGCGCAACCAGCACGCCAATAATAGCTCGATCCAACCAGGGATCCTCGGACTGCTGTGAAGCAACAGTCTGCGCAGGATACGGAGCAACAGGTTGACGCGGCGCCGGCGCCGCCAAATGTGTTTGCGCATCCGGCCCTGGGACTGGCGTGGAGGTAGCAATAGACGTAGAAGGAGGAGGAGCAAACGCAGCCTGAACACCTTCCGGAGCTGACTGTTGCTGCGCTGACTCCTGTGATACGGTCACGGACTCATCCTGCATTATCTTCTCAGACTGTGTCTCCTGTCGAGTCGCATCGGTATCACCCTTCTCACCCTCCTCCTTAGATGCCGGAGATACAACCCTCTCATCCCCCATATCCCCAACCTCTACTCCGTTCTCCTTGCAATAATCCCGCCACTCCCCTAAAATGGCCTCGTTACTCTTCCCACAAACCTCACAGCACCAGTCCCCGCTCCGGCGAGCATAATCCCTCCTCACCTCCTCCGAGACATCCAAACCACCGACCTGCCCCTTCGCATCTCCGTCCATGAAGCTCCGAATCGCCAGCAGCGCAGTCCGAATCCCCCACGCAGGTTGCCACGTCTCCTCATGGTGCCCCGAGATACTGAGGCAAATTTCACGATTGACTTCAAAACGGCCCGAGGGGGTAAGGAAGCGGAAGCTCGGAGGTCGGAGCGGATACGTTGGGGGTAGGACTATGCGGCCGTGGTAGATTCCTGAGGCGTAAGGTGAGGGAGCGGGGGGGCCGGCGATTGTGAAGTGCCAGTCGTACAGGTTCGAGTCGGAGACAGGTTGAGCGTGGAAGTGTGGGGAAGGGGAGGCGGATAGCTCGGCGGCTTCTTTCATTAGACGGCGGATGGATGGCGACATTTTGAGTGTTTTTTGAAGTAGGGCCTTTCTTTGTTGGCGTAATTATGGTTTGAATTTGCGATTGGGTGGTGGCGGTTGTTAATGTTGTTCGGGAGGTTATGGTCGGTGAGTTGATTTGGTGAATGAACATGTGCTGCGGTACGAAGGGCATGCAGCGACTATATGCACGCCATCAGGGGAAAATGGGTTGTTGGTGGGTTGGTTGATTGGGCAATTTACATGATGCCAACTGTCCAGTCGCTGAATGACGTTTTCGGGCTGTTGTTGCCATTGTTCTCAGGCATCAACGACGCCGACGCTGACGCCTACCGTGATTATACTTCCTACAATATAACGAAACATCACATGAAACTTCTATCATTAAGGACTGATATCGACATGACCCTTGGCTACCAGCCTAGTATGCAACCGTTACGCCCACGAGGACATCCACCTGTAATATGAACACAGTATACGTACCTACATAAATCATAGTAGTATGCACAAAAAATGAAAAAGGCAAAGAAAAGCCGCTAAATATAAACCATGATCAGTTCTAATCCCAGTCTCGCCATTCGTCCGATTGTTCATGTCGATTGACCGGCACCCCAGGTTTTCGCGATCCACTTAAGTGATCATTTCGACTCTGCAGTAAATCATGACTCTCCTCCACATCTTCGAAATCACTATCTCCCGGTCTTGGGCGCGGGGACATCGGCGCCAAGGTCTGCATGGATACACCCGTTGGAGGACGCTCGGTTTCCTGATAGGCGTTAGACGGCTGGTGGGCCATGTACATTGACGGTGTTGCGTCCGTCCCAAGCCAGCTCCGACTGTTGTGCATGTTACGCTGGTAGAGGTCCCGATAATATTGTTGTTCTTCACTAGCCTCCTGCTCCCGTCTCTGTCGCACCCTGTCCTGCGCTTCAATGAATTTCGAGCTAGGTTCCCAATGCCAACCGTCGCCAGTCGTAGTGTGCACAGGAATTAGCCAGAGAAGCGGCCGGTCGCCAAATAAGTGTAAGAGATTCCGACGCCATCCGTGATCAAAAGCGTTCGGCATCTTCTCATTATCTTCTTCATCAAGATAACTATGGTATCGATCACGCTCGCGTTGCCGCTCCAACTCCGCATATGATCGCGAGAGGGCCTGTTGGGCGGGAGTGCCCCCGGGACCCGATTGAGTGTATGCGGGCAGGGACTCCTCTCCTTCCTCCGGCCGGGTGACGCCGGGAATCGCATTTGCATGAGCGTCCAATATCTGATTACCATAGTCCTGAAGCCGATGTCCGAGGCTTTCTGGGTCATCGTTTTCATGGCCGTTGTGACTATTACCCAGTATGTTTTCGTAGCGGCGACGATCCAGCGCTTTCCGCAACGGAGACACATAGCGCGTCTTCTCTAAACACTCGATCGTGGTCAAGTTACGCACCGCGAGACTAATGTGCCAGATGGTAAATCCCGACAGCACCAGCCCGATAATCCCTCCGAGTATGGCCAACAATACCACATTCACAGGCAATATGGTGTCCATATACCGCGTATCATTCAACACCTCGGTCCATATCCAACTCGATGCCACCGCGAAGTCAACCCAGCAGAAGATCGATGTGTAGATAAGAAACAGGAGAAACGCCTTGTAGTTATGCAGCCCAACGCACGTCGCCAGCCACGGGCAATGGTGATCCATCTTCAGAACACATCGCTTACACGTCGAACAGTGATGCGCCCGATCAGGTTTGGGACACTGGCATTTTTTGCAGAACCGGGACCCTCCCATGGAATTCACGGTGTATGAAGTGAACTCCGGCAGTTCCGTTACCGGCAGAGCGCTGTATTCATGTCGACTATTGGCCGACAGTGGTGAGCCAGGGTCAGTGAATACCGCAACACTATACGAGGCATTAAGGCAAATATAGAGGGCAATGCCGATGATCGAAGTGGGTAAGCCTGGTGGTCCAAAGCAGTCAGTATGTGCATTCTCGCGGGTTCCGAGTACCACAGCAGAAACCTACCGATCCAAGAATTTCGTGACGGCCGTAGACCAATACTAGCTTCAACATAGACCGCCCATGTTGTCAAACCGTAGACGAATGCTAATGGGAAGAAAGACGCCGCCGCGCAGCAGTAGCGTTCACATCGGAGAGCCCAAGCCCGAGGACGTCGTTTGGGCCAGGATGGTGACGATGGCGGCGAGGCGGCTAAAGTCGCCATCATGAATATCCGAGGTACAGTAGGGAGCCAGTCGATGGCTTTATCATGAATCTATTTGGTTCAAGAGACTTAATTCATCGCGACAAGCTGTGCTTCCACAAACGCCGCGGTAGGCCACGGCAAACCCAAAGGTTGATGGTAAACGGTAAGAATTAAGAATTTCTATGGAATACAGAGGGATGCAGCAATATTGCAACGGGACAAGCAAGACAGACAACGACTGATAGAGTGAAAGGGCACTGGGGTAGCCAAGGAAAGAAAATGAAATTACGAAATCAAGTGGTTGAAGCGGATCGATCGTCCTTCAAGATCGCCGGGAGTGGAATCGTCCGTAATTACGGAGTACCGCCCGCGGTATTACGGCAACACAGCCCGTCCGTGCCAAGACAGGATAAATTTAGAGTGTTTTTCATGGCTGTGCTGTCAGTGGCTCAGCCACGTTGGTTAGACGTGTCGACCCCAAAAGTACGCGCAATGACAAGGGTAACAGAGGTCAGTCTAGTTTGTATATGCCTATCTAGATAGTTGTATTTCCCTCTACCTAGTAAAATTTGATACAGGTATAGAGTTAAATCATCAAATCCCATTCGTCCCTGAGATAGAGACGCTCATCACAAAAAAAGTGATTATACACGCGATGCCCTTGCAAGGGTATAAGTAAAAGCACAGGAAATAAGCGGCAGATCATCACTCAACGCCGCCAGTCAAATGCCGTGAAGATGTCCCGAAACAGAGTATGAGCCCAAAACAGTTTACAGCTATGGAGGCAGGGAGAATCGTTACGTAAACAAAAGCGATAGAGTCATCAATAAGTAGTAGAAAGGCGAAAGGAAGAGTAAACATGATCAGTTGCCGTTCGTGGTGGTGGTATTGGTGATTGTGAAGGGCTCCATGCCTTGTTCACACCAATCGTGCACGGGCTATTTCCAGTCAGCTAGCGATCAAATACAGCCGAGAGCATCTTGACTTACCAAACAGCTCAGTCGATAACACCACGAGCAATTAGACTTGGGGTAATTGTAGAAGTTCACAATCAGGAGGATGAAACCAATGATAACCGCTACCAAAGCTCCGGCCCGGACCAACCACCATGCCCACCATAGTGGTTTCCGGCCCTTGAAGAAGCCCAATGGACCAGATGTTTCGGAAGACGAGTTCGGGCCCGTGCGTCCCTTGAAGAGGTTGACGAAACTTGGCCCAGTCGTCGTTTTGTTCTCGTCATCAGAAGTGGGACCAGCACCACCACTCATCGCCACATAAGGGTTGCGGGCGAGCCCAATACGCTCCCGAAGTGCATTGGGCGATCTCATTATGCAGAGACCGAGGGCCAGGCCCATGACGAACCCACCAATATGGGAGAAATTATCCAGGCCCGGTAGCAGACCCAGCACGAAAGAAATTCCCACGCCAAGGACCATGATAATGAGTTCCACAAATGGCGACGGTCTTTCTTTCCAGGTGTAGAAAAGATCCAAGATGAAAAGTGCAAGAATACCAAATAGGGCACCTGAGCATCCCGAGGAGGGCTGGAACGGAGCCGCATAGTTACCTCCAAGGACGAAACCCCAGATACCACTGGCAAAATAAACCAAGGCATATCGCCACCATCCGACCATCCGTTCCATATCAACTCCCATCGTCATTTGACAAAGCAAGTTGAAACCAATGTGAATGAAACCACCGTGAAGGAATATAGGCACGATAAATCGATACCACTGGTTGGGCTCCGGCTGATCATCGAGGGAACCACCGACGTGCGGATTGGGAACACCGCCGAAGCCACACAGTTCGGATAAGGTACACTCCAAAGCATTCGTTGTTGAATTCGGGCAAGGCATGAGGAAGTCAACCGGAGAGTTCTGTACCTTGTCGACATTCTTCATACAGGGCGCGTACCGCGCTCCCATGTTGATTTGAATGTACGCGGAGGGTCCTATCATCGGATTGAATTGAGGTTTCGTCTGAATCGGGGATCCTGTGAGTTGTCCTACCGGGCCAGTTAGTCCAGCTAAATCTTGTAATTCTTCGTTTGGGGTCTGGCATACCGCTCTTAACCAACTCCGCGATGAACACCGCAATTTGTACCACGGTAAGGATATAGGTCACGAAGGGGACTTTCTTCTTGAAGAAGCCCTTCTTCGTCCCTCTAGCTCGATTGGGGGCTGATTCCAACATCGCCGGGTCCGGGGGGTAATGCGTTGGTTGCTGCATCCAGTTGGCAGGTGGTGGGCCGTTTGAGTATTGAGTGTTCTCCTTCAGGGGTATGTTCTCTGCATAATGATCTCCTTCGTTTAACCTTCCGCCCGCCACATACGCGCCCTGATCGGACCCTAAGGAATGTTGGCTGTCTCGGATGTGAGGGGGTTCAGAGTCTGCGTAGGGGTGTCCACTGGGGCCCGTGTAGGTGGGCGCTGGTGACTGTCGATGGAACGAGTCTGTATGAGGGATGGCTTGTTCGTACGTTGGTGGGTTGTTGCTGTACCCGGTATTGTAGTAACTGTTCGCTGCCATCTTGAATGGTCAGCCGATTAGGCAAGGGGGACGCAAAAGAAATTTCACTTTCTGGCGGTCTTCGCTGATGTGATAAGAAGTTGAATTATGGTTTTCTTGCGGGGAAAGGAAAATATATTCCACTGTCTGACCGAGTTGACGGGCAGGAAGAGCTGATGATCAGACGTTCTGACCCATGCACGGCCACGTTTTGGCGGCTGACGACAATGGCGGAAACCCAGGCAACCCCTTAGAAGCTATCGGGGATTAGAGAATGACCGCGGAAGCTTATGTGCACGCAACAAAGGATAGTGGAGAAAAGGTGTCGGATGAAGTATATGGTACGATGGCAACGTTCTATGCAGAGAGTGGGAAAAAGAAAAGAAAAGAAAAAGGAAAAGAAAAAGAAAAACGAATAGGATTCTAGACAGATGATGTGCCTTTCGATTCAGTATTGAGAAGAGGCTGAAGTTGTCAGTAAGTGTGATGTTAGGCAGTCAAATTCGCGGGTGTGGCACTATTTTTGGGTTTGCCGATCAATTATCGTCGTCAGCAGTCAAAATATGAATTTCCCCCAAGCAAATAAACTACCCAGGTGTTAAGTGAAACCCCCGGCCACGCACTCCTGGATGACGAACGAATCCCTAAGGCTGAGCTGTCTTCTGTGGCTGGTGTAAGATTTTACCTCCACCACTAGCCCCGTGTTTACTCTGGTCCTGTTCCTATTGAACGGTGGCGTGTGTACTGCGTATTTAACTTTTCTCGTTGTCTTTTTCCTGCCCTGCCCTGCCCCCGACATTAATTCTTTAACAAATCGCAATCTTCGGTGTGTGATAATTGATTGTATTTTTATACAACTCACTCGTACTAAGTTTTCTAATTCAATGCGTTTTCCAAGTAAATTAACACCCATGTACTTTAACATCTCCTCGGGTTACTTGTACATGAACTCGTATTTTGACATTAAGCATTACTAAACGTGTACCAATGATGACCATGTATTAGTCAACAGACTGTCCATACTTCCTCCGGTAGTCAAGAAATCAAAAAGATATATGTGAAAGAAAACAAAAAAAGGCGGATCTCTGGTCCAAGCGGTCTGGCATTAGGTCCCACTGGACACTCAAGCTTCGAGTACACATTATCTCTTGCCTAAGCCCGGAAGTACTCGTGCTCACATTATAAGTCGGTCCTTACCATTCAATTCGTTAAATCTTTGCGGCGAGCCGCTTTCCAACATAGACGAAAACCAAAACGCCCCGTGCTAGCTCCATAATACACAACAAAGTATATGTAACAATCTAGAGAGAGAACGGGATATCGTTAGCTTTCACGGTGATATGTAGTAGGCTGAACGAGACGTACCACCAAGAATGATCTCCCAATGTCTCATCGATACGAGAGCACCAATGCAGAAGGAAAATCACAAAATAAATAGTTTTTGAGATGTATATTTATACCATGCGAGTTGGTTCGGTCTCTCTCACAACGCACTCTCCCCAGAAAATGACGATAGAGAGCCCACGTGAGTCTCCAAGATACCCAAAGCGGTCCCCATATCCTCGCTGCTATGGCCGGTCAACAACCATACGAGGCGGGTCAGCTTCTGGTAGAGCAGTGTTGGGAAATACAGCAGTAGGGCCCAGAAGAGCAGTGATAGCACCACAATCACGAAGGAGTTGGCCACGAGTTTCTCGCCCGGGGTCATGACGTAGAGTCCGAATGTGACTTCATACCGGTAGTATTCGAGACGAACACGATCGGCAAATCGCTGTATGGCATTCCGACGAGGGTTCTTCATCATCAGGTAGCTGACACTTTGGGAGTTTAGGTTCGTAGAGGTCGACATGGTGGAAGAGTATTTACTAATCAACTCATCGACCGCGGCGGGAGCATGGGAGATGTGCGTCGAGGTCGAGGGCGTGTAGAAGGACTGCATTTCGGTTGCCATTGCGTTGTATATCACTGAAGCAAGCTCGACGTGTCTGGGAAACAGGTATTTTCAATGTTTCTTGAGGGTCGTTGTTACCCTTCGAGCTTCTGACTCCTCGGACGTAGGGTGGAGAGCAGTCGCGTGGTTTCCCGAGACTGCTCCACCTATACTAGGATTATGATTATCCAAAGTCAGGCACCGGAGGCGGCCAGACTCTAGACGGAACTGCGCGGGAGGTTCTGGGTTGACTTGGTTCTTCAATCAAGGAGGGACAAGGGAATCGAACAATAGACGACATGCAAAGAACACCGAAGGATTCAATCCAGTCCCAAAGAGGAAAATGAACCACGCAGTTGGACCAACAGGTTTACCGGGACGTATTATACAGAGAAGAATGGGTAAGAGGAGAGAGCTTCGCTGGAGCACCCAAGGAAAGGGAATTGAAGGTGCGAAGGATGGCTTTCGGTAGGGCGCGGATGTGGAAGTGTTCAAGGCGGATCTGCCTTGATGGAGGTCGAACCTGCTACCACCAATCATCGTTAGCATTCAGCGTCATCTTCCCTGTTAACTTCGGGTTTATCGGCACCTCCCGCTTGGCTTTTTCATTTTTTTTTTATTTTTTTGTTTTTGTTTTGTTTTTTATTATTTATTTCTTTACCCTTTTGCCTTGCCTACTTTTGGAAGTTTTGCATATTTTGTCCTTCTTGTTTGTTTCCCAGAAAATCAAACAAAATAAGCATATTCTTCAACGTTGATAGTTACACTTGTGTTACACTTGTATACTTCATGAATCGAATGAACCGGGAGATCGTAGGAGATCGTCTCCCTTATGCCCTCGAATCGATTCATAACTTCATAACCGCTGTGCACGTCCCCCTGACCACCATGGATCATTTTTATGCATCCTTGGCTGGCTCCTCGTATAGAGATCGTCAGCACTATTGCATATAGTCTAGTCACGTTTGGGTCGGCATACAAATAGGCTAATCGGCCCCCTTCATTTGCTTGAAATTGAATCCTGAATAATCCAATTTCAATGATTTCCTTCCTTGTCAGGTGATTTCAGTCACATGATGTTGTGGTCTAAATGAGAAGATGTCACTGTGGACATCTACTGTATTCGAGAGTAGTAGACACTTACACTTCGTCTTCTTCCTCTCGATACATTCCTTCGAGCTGTCTGTGGCGCATGCACGTTACTCGTGTTTTGCCCGGATGAAGATATACTTCCTTTGTTCTTGAATCTTCTTACTGTGCGATGCTCTTAGAATATATATATCGAATGGAATTCTTCAACACTCGCAATGTGCCAGACCGGTACCGCACTGAAAAATATATCGCAGGTAGAAAAGGCTTCAGATTGTCTGGTCATTCCCCATTGCTTGCTTCCTTATCAGAGTCCGCGATTAGTTGGGGACTTCTAACTCTTCCCATATTAAATTGAGCTTCTCCATAGTATTCAGGGGAAGGAATGACATCATAGGGTCCGTGCATCATGTGTGTATCAAACTGTCCCGCGCTTACGCACTCACGCCGATCGATCTAGACTCCTGAGTCCCATTCTTCTTCCCCTCTTCCTCATCCCACCATCGCATTGAATTGGTGCTATCTCAACTATCATGGCTGAGGAAGAAGACCCTATTGTTCAGGCCTTGCCCCCGGCAACTGATTACCTTACTTACCTAACCTTGTTGGAGTACCAATTGACCCCCGCTCGCTTGCCCACTCTCCACAAGCTCTTGCAGGATGAGGTCTTGACAACCAATATTGGCTGGGACCTGGTTCAGCTGCTGCTGCCCATGCTCCCTCAGTCACTCGAGTGTCTCCAGGATATCGCCCGCTTAGGTAATCCTAGGGAGGTCATTCTGCGGGTGTCTGAAGCCCTGATGCAACTGCAACCTGAGGATGAGGATGAGGACGAGGACGAGGAGGAAGAGAACGAGACGGCAGAGTCCTCTGCTGCTCATGATACAGATACCGCCGATACGGAACTGAAGGCTGCGACCGACAGAAATGTGGAGAAATCGGATATACAGAATACCCTCCCACGACATGTCCTGAAGTTCAATGCCCTCGTTGCCATGTTATCCGTTCTTCATTCCCGCATTCAGACGAAATCCCCGAGCCGCTTTTTCGCAACCTCTCTACAAGCCGTATTGGAAGCGTATACCCTGATGCCGACGAACGAGACAACTATTGCCCTTTTGGAGTTCTTCAGAGACGTGTCTCCCTCCAAGCGGCCTGCACCACCACCCCGTGCTGCAAGTGAGTCTAGCGTGCTACGAGTCTCCGAAGCTTCTGCGCCGGACCCAGAGGCAGAGATCCAATCACCCAACCCGAGCAACAACGAGCCAGCGCTCATCAAGAGATTCCTGCAATTCGGCCTGATTGAGCTGATAAAGTCCTACATACTGAGCTTTTCGGGGCCTATGGACCCAGGAATGTCTTGGACAATTCGTTTGCAGGAGAAACTTCAGCCAAGGCATCCGGCAGGCCAAGTGTCGGAGACGGAAGTATTTGCCAATAACAAAGAGCTAAGGGAGAGGGACATGATTTTAGGGAAAATTACGGTAGGTGGAATCCTGTGTGCCAACAGATGTAATATCTGACTTTGTAGGCTCTTTCTCGAGACTTCGGGCTAGATGACAAGCAGCTTCTCGCAGTCGTCTCCCAGCCGGCAGACAGACATCCTCAGCCGCTGGACTTCGACGAACCACCTAGAAATGTGGAAGAAATCCCGCTCGAAAGGCATGGTGCTCTACTTCTTTTGGCTGCCCGAGCTGCGATGGCCGAACTATTCTCGTCGGGACAGGTCACCCCGATTGCCGTCTTCCCTGAGCTGGCTCAGATATTCGACAACTTTGTCGGTGGACACGATAAGCCGGACGACATTGCCTTTGGGCAACCTCAGGCACTATTGGACTCTCTGCTGACACTGACCGTCTTCTCCATGCAACGATCAATCGGAGAGCCTTCCACTGAGTTGGATTTCCGACGCTTCATCTTGTCCCTAACTGCTTGCACAACGCGACAAAGTTACAACTCCATTAGGCGGATCCCTGGAACCATTCTCCACAGTCACCCGTCTCACATTATCCGCTTCAAGACTATTCGCCAGGTTCTTGAGGATGATCGTTTCCAACTGATCAGGGACAGTGCTATAGGGTGGCTGAAAGATGAAATACTTGACGCCAACAAAAAGCCCTCTAGCTCACCCGAATCCGACATATTCGTCAACCCGCATTACTTCTCCATCCTTTTCCCCTTACTCTTTAACTCCTCCGAGTTACGCTTCAACGTCTCGTCCGACATCGTAGCGTCATGGATCCAATTCTCTCAAACTCTTACACCATCCATCCACTCCGCCCTGAGCCTCTACTACATTCTTCTTTCATCCTCCACCCTCCGTGCTCAGCTCCAACTTGAAAAAACCTACATCTACTTCCGCAACCGCTTTCTGGAGCCACTCAAGTCTCTCCTCCACGCCTTCGAGAGTGATCTCACCCAGAATGGCGGCGACGGCAAGATCGAGTCTGCCGTCGGCGAGGACATGTGTCAGGTAGGCATGGCCCGGTCCGTGGGCCTCGTCTCTCATGCCGTAGAACAGGTGGAGGATGCCGTGGGCGATGCCTTCGTTGGTGCCGATGACGAGCTGCAGGAACCCAGCATGGATGACGTGGCCAGGGTTGACAAGATCCGGAAGGAGACTGCTTTGTAAATAAATGGCCTACTTGCATTATGATATATTTATTTTTTCACTTGTCGCAATTGTGAATACACGACCAAGATACAGATGAACTCGTGACTACAAGACAAGACATGACTCTTCCCAATCATCTTCTTTCACTGTAATCCTTGTATAGAATCTATTACTTCAACACAAATTGGTACCTTGTAGATATATATATATATCACATCAACATATTTACTAACATCACATTCGGCTTGCAACCGAAAGTTAAGGTTGCTAGCATGGCCACAACTTTATCGTTAAGTCCAGCCCACCAGCTGTCTATATATATATATAGAACAAATCACTTCAAATTGCCCGATTTCCCTCATCCCTAGGCCTGATCCTCTGCTCGAAGAGATAAGGTGAAATCGCTTATATAGCTATGTTTTTATTATTCTAAGGAAACATATCAACGCGCCAACATACCTATCAGCTAGTATACATATCAACTAGCTGGTATATCAATATATCTACTAGGTGACATATAGGGGCCTGACGCCCTAGAATACTACCACGTAATCTAACACCGTGGGATAGGGCCCCTGAATCCTTCGGTTAAGCTTACATAGTATAGAATTGTCTATACTCTATAGAATTAGATAACTGCAGCTATTGAACCCATTCCAGAGCTTTTGGGTATCAATCTTATAATACACATCTCCTAGAAGGCACTATTTTAGGATATTGTCTCTTACCGATGTATCTCTGAAAGCCTACCTACTATTAGTATTAGGATATCTTTCTAACACATATTTCCACTGCTGTATTCCACATTCGAATATAATATCTATTGACATGTCCAGTGGACTGCATCTTTCTATCTACTTGTCTATACCAGTAGATTAACCTTATAAATAGTAGTATAAGACCTCAGACTCCAGAGAGAGAAAGCAGTCTACTAAACCACTAGTATTTTCAGACCCCTTGGCTCCCAACATACACATACACACATTTATAACACAAATGTCAATGAGAGCTGCTTAGTATATATACTAAATGGCCGTTGATAACCCGAGAAGAGCCCCTGAATGGGAACTGTATTTCGGGTATAATGCAAATCGCGCTCTCTCTCTCTCTATATATAAACTATCTAGCAATTCAGCCCCGGTAGGAACCAGTATCCCTATTACAACAATAAACAAAAAAAAGTGATAGTAAGTTAGACACTAATACACTATTAAACCCAGTGTTACCTTTTTGTTAAAAAATAAGGTGGTGATTGAAAACCCGCTGATAGTTAATGTGCTAGTATGCTATAGTTCTGGCAACATGCAAACGTATTCTACCGCATATATCCAACATTTACCCAGACTAGGTAGAAACTAACAATCCAAAATATTCTACGTTATATATACCCAGCCCACCCCCCTGGCACATAAACAAAGTGTACAACCTCTCTCCCGAGGTCCAGGAACAAAGGGAACGCAAACAACCCCTGACCTGTATCACAGAAGAAACCAGGCTACGAACATGCATGACGCGACCAGTAACAGTGCAGAGTTAATATAGTAGCGCTGCGTGACTGCAGTGCTACCTTACTCCGCATAGTCTCTTCCAGCCCTACTATTAAATGCAGTGTTACAGTTAAAACTAAGATAGATTCAAATCCAAAGTATGTATGAAATTCAGACTATCCCATGCTACATGACCAAGAGTTCCCAGCAACCAAGACGACGACAAGACCAGAAAAGGAGCGGATTCGAACAGGATAGCGAAGAAAGAGGTAGGTACACAAACAACCAATCATCCCCTGTCCAACGGGCCCGTTGGTCTTCCTCCCAAGGGTTCGAGATACATTTTTTTTGTGGATTTTCTGAGTATAGGTTGAGTGGGCCTGACTAGTGCCAGGGGTAAGGTAGAACGGAACGCGAGAAGTAAGTCGAGCCGGTCATGTTTGGTCTTGAGGCGCGGCAGTTAACGAGCTGGCTGGTGTGGTGGTGGAATTCTGGCTCGGGGGGTGAGTGATTGGGGTGCGTTTACATAATAACGCAGCCGCCGCCGGGGGAAGCTGGTTTTGTTAGTTGTTTCTGTGATGTATCGAAAGGGGTTGGTGGAGAGTGGGCATACCCTTGACAATAGCAGTGTTCTTGACGGAGGGAGACATGGTGATTGATTGGGTTTCCTGGAAGGAAGATTTCTTTGGATAGAAGATTTGGTTGTTTGAAGAAGAGTGTGGTTGATGAAGAGAAGAAGGAGTGATCTGGAGGGTTCAAAGGGTCTTTATATCTCTGTCTCAAGGGTTGGCCTGGTCAGTGAATAGTGCATCCCGATGCCATTCTGTTCGAGATAGATGGTTGAGATTGGAAGCATTCAGCACCACGGGTTCGTGTGGCCAAACATTGATAGGCCACAGACAAAGAAAGCAAGCAGGAGAGGAGTCGACAGGTCGACTGGAAGCTAATTGGGGATACCGTGAATGCATTGACTCGCCCACGGCCTCGGGGCGTTCTTGATATTGTTCTTGACGCGGGGGCCAATCATGATGGCGGCTTCCCCGGAGGTGAATGGGGAGATGGTGGCAAAGGCGGTATTGATCAACATTGCCTTTCTTTCTTCAGTGCAACTCGGTGAATGCAGTCGGTTATCTTTATCCACCGAGATACCTACGTTCGGTCTTTACCGCAGAGCATCCAGCGGGTCCAGATCCCCGTATCTCAGTCGGCGGCTTCAGTGTCCCGCGGCACGTGGCCCACATGAGCCCCTTGTACAGATACATACTTTCCTATTTCGAGCACAGCGAGGAAGAGGGAGGCAAATGGTGGAGATTTCTAGTCAGTAGTTTCGTGGGGGAGGAACAATGCCGAGCCATTGCGAAAGGCCTGGATATATTGTTGTCGTAAGAACAATATGCGAGTATGAAAGAGTCTTGGCACCAAGAACCAGGTTTGGTAAGCTATGCACAAAAATAAATGGTTCAATGATTGAATGAATGGATTAATATCCCAAAAAAAGCAAAAGGCCAAATTCATTTAGTTAGAATCTCAATGAAAAGAATCCACGCAAAATACCAAGAAGCGACATAAGCTAGATCATGTGTAAAGCGGCTCCGTGATATCGTTCAATGCCAATCCCGACTTCGCAACGTCCTCTTCAATCAAGAACATCAATGGCATCTCCACAAGCGTGCCCTTGACCTTACTGAGCAGTTCCTTGACTTGTCGAACCCCCTCAGGACCGCCCGGGAAGTCATCCCGCACAACGTGTCCATACCGGTACCGGGCGGGTGGCGCATCCCTCTCTTCGCCATACGCTTGCTTGTCCGCCTTGTTGAAAAAGTAACCATAGAACTCTTTATACGTGGTCCAGTTGCGTACGCAGTCATCCGGAACAGAGTGGAACACCTTGCGGAAGACTTCAGTGTTCGTGTTCGCCCGGCTGTTCCACAGGTTATGAAGAGTATCCGCCAACGGATCTGCCACAAGCCGACTCTCAGGAGCGTCAAAGTCAAAGTCATTGGGCACACCAACCGGCTCGAAGTTGGCATCGGGGCGCTGGTAGTCCTGTGGCGGAAGAAGGCCAAGGTGCTTGCGGAACAGCTGGCGACGCAGGGAAGCTGCAAAACGGCTAGCTGTCCAGGGCTTGCCGTTCATGGTGGACTGAAGAGGAGTATAGTCCTCAATGATAATAGCAATCTCAGAATCGTGATCACCAAGCTGAGACCGGTCGTTCAAGTTGGCAGAACCGCAAACAACCACGCGGTCGTCGGCGATCATGACCTGTGCCGTTAGTGCATGAAATCAATCCAGGATGGGAGAGAATAAACATACCTTTGAGTGAACGTAAAGTTCCTCAGTTACAAAAGCGTCAATCTCGGCCTCAGGAGGGCCATCCCAAGGGACGTTGCGGATATCCTCTCCATTGAGCATGTAGCACGAACTGACACTGTCCCATCGGCCAGAGGCAGTCTTGGCGCCAGGAACCTCGCGAGCAGCCTGCTGATACTGCTGGAAAGGAGCCGTGGTATCGAATGCGCTCCGGGGAGCGGGGGCTCCTGGACCATATCCACCCTGCCCAACAACATTGACATCATGCTGCTTGCGAGCATCTTCATAGTCGACACCACTTCTCTGCTCGGCTTGCACGAGCGGACCGCTAAGATTGATACGGTCGTAATTACGGAGATTGTAGAAGCGGATATAATCCATAGGGTTGTATCCCGCCTGATGAACCAGCTCCATGATACTCTTTCCGCCACGGTTGATGCAGTTGTACTGAAACTCCATAATAGCCCGGGTGCCGAGAGTAGAGTCATCTGCCAGATCACCAGCAAAGCAGGGAACAGATGGAATCACCACAATCATCTTCCACTTCTCCCCAGCACGCGCTGCCCGCAAAATACGCTCGACGATCGCAGCACCGATCTGGTTCTTTACCGGCTTTTGGGAGTCCTCGCCAGTAGCTGTAATGAAGAATTGATTCTCGATATACACAAAGTGTTCACTGTTCCGGATGATCGCAGCATACGCATCGGCAATTGAATGTTCGGTAGGTGTGCCATTGCTCCACTTAGAACAACTACGGACAATCTGACAGCACATATTGCCGCGAGGCTGAGAAGGATGACCGAATGAGCTCAGACGATCCTGGTACTGATGGACTTGGCCAGCTAGTTGACCACGAAGAACATTTGAGTATTGAGTGAACTCATCTCGGAAACGACGGGGGATAAGGCCCGAGCCTCTTTCTCTGTCACCGTGTCCGCGCGTGCCCTCATAATGGTCATCAATGCCACGTGTCTGAGAGTGCGACGGCTCTTGGCTCGCGGGAGGAGTGTAGGCTGCATACTGTGGTGGTTGGCCTTGTCCTTGAGCTGGAGCTTGAGAGTGCGCCGGTTCCTGGGTCGGGGGAGGAGGGAAGTATGGTGCTTGGCTTTGTCCCTGGGCTTGCCCCTGAGTTGGCGTCTGGGAATACGATGACCCCTGGGTTTGGGGAGGACCGTAAGCTGCATACTGTGGTGGTTGGCCTTGTCCTTGAGACGGAGCTTGAGAGTGCGCCGGATCCTGGGTTGGGGGAGGACCGTAAGCGGTGTATTGTGGTGGATGGCCTTGTCCCGCGTGACCTTGTCCTTGAGTTGCATTTTGAGAGTGCGGTTTCTCCTGGGTCGGGAGAGGAGTGTGGGCTGCGTATTGTGGTGGTTGGTCTTGTCCCACCTGCTCCTGGGTTGGAGGGGGAGCATAGTATGGTGTTTGGCTTTGTCCCTGAGACGGAGCTTGAGGATGCGACGATTCTTGGGTCGAAGGAGGTGCATAGTACGATGCCTGGCTTTGGCCCTGAGTTGGACCCTGAGATGGAACAGGGCTCTGAGATGGTGGCGGCCCAGGAGGAGGTGGTGGGAAAGATTGCCCAGTGTAAGTATAGTTCTGGGTGTTATCCGTGGACTGAGGAGCGCCAGAGGCAGGCTGCTGGGGGCTGGAGGCAGCCTGGTAATTTGCCGTGGAGGCAGTAAAGTAGCTTGAAAGACCAGGCTGCGGCGAGGTGGCCGATTGCTGGTAGGCTTGGTTACCTGTTGCCTGTGCCTGGGGCTTGGCCGAAAGACCCGGCTGTGGCGATGCCGGAGGTTGCTGGTAACTAGGTGCCCCTTGGCTGCTAGTGCTGGGCCGGGGAGATGCGCCCTGTTGCTGCTGAACACCCGGCTGCTGTGGGCGGTTTGACGAGCTGGGTCGACCGTACATTGCGAGCCTGGAGTATCTCGCGTCTTTGCGCGAATCATACTTCGTATCGTAGATAAAGTTCCAACGTTCGATGAAGTGTCGCCGCAAATCCTCCACGACATGACCGTGTAAGCTCACGGAGATATCAGACCAACCCATGCGGGAGGCTGTCTTTCGACCCAGCTGATTCTTCTCCCAATTGGACACATCCTGGAAATCGAGCACCCTGGCATTGTTATAGTCTTGGCCTAGGAACACGCTCTCATTGATGTCCTCCGGGTGGACATCGGCGAGTGCGTGCTGGTTTGTATCCCAACGGCCAAAACACATATCTAGGCCACCCATGAATGCAATCCTGCCATCGATGACGCAAAGCTTTTCATGGTGTGCCCAGTAGAGAACAACATCGTCGTGCATGCCGTAGATGTTTTTGATGGCATCTCCTGACAATTGGACGAGGTTTTTCGCATCCAAGGACAAGTTGTGAAGAGACGTAGAGATGTCCTCGGCCAAACTCTGACGGTCCGGCAGATGATCAGGATGGCGGAACACGGCAATATTTTTGTCAAGGTCTTCAAGGCAGTGCTTAGTATGATGAGAAGAGACTGGTCAAATTAGCATGACTGGAATGATAATTGTCATATAACGCCTTCTTCGAGGCCCAACGTAGTACATACGAGTTAATGCCTGGGTGACTTCCTTGTACACAATGATATTGACTTTTACCCCACGTTGCGCTGCTGACTGCAACATCCGATCCAGTCGGTATTGTTCATTCTTCTTGGGAGGTCGTCTCAAGTAGAGCTCGGGAGACAGCCACCCTTTGGAGGATTATTAGCCAAAGCCTCAAGTGCGATTATCGAGAGGACAGAGGGGCTTACAATCTAAGATCCAGATTGATTCTCTTGCGCTTTCTAACGCCTTCGAAACGGCGTAGAAATAGGAACATCCGTCCACATACCACTTAACGTCGTTGCCTTGTCGGTCTGGGGCGAAGCTGCCGAATCTGTGCTGTGTCTGTGGCTTTACCTGTCCATATTCGGCGTACGCCTCTGGGTCGAGTGCGGTTCCTATACGCTGACCGAGATCATTTCCGATTTCTGCAACAGCGCCCTGGAGTTTACCAAACAGCCCGGAGAGCTTATCTTCTTTGGGCGGCTTGCTCTGGGGCCTACCCTGAGGCTTGTTAGGATCTTGATACTGGGGCTGAGGAGGACGGCCGTATGCGTTCTGCGACGAGCTCTGCTCGTTGTAGTTCTGACCCTAATGGATGTCAGCCATGCGGTACCATTGACACATCGGTAATGTACCCGGCTTACACCGTAGTATCCTTGGTTGGATCCTTGGGGCTGAGACTGCTGGCCTTGAGGCTGCTGGGGCCTGGGCGCTCCCTGCTGCGAATGATGGGTTTTATAAGTTTCCTTCAGCTTCTTGAAAGTATCCCCAACAAAACCCCTTGCACTTTCACCTTGACCGCCACGAGTCCCATCTTCGTTGTAATAATGGCCGTAGGCCAGGTGGTCCTCTCGGTTGGCCATGACCGTCGCGGACTATGAGCGACTCGGGTGGAATAGTAAATAAAAAAGGATTGACGGATGCTACACAGCAGGAATGGTAGAAAACCTGCAGAGAGCTTTACAAGAAAGAAAGAGGAGAAAGAGGATGGGGAATCATTAGTATTTAACCAGAGTGAGAAAGATGCACAGAGGATCAACTTGAGCGTAATTAATTTAGTCCCGCCCATTTTGCCCCGCCATTCCGAGACACCAGCTGAATGGCCCATTTCTATTAGGCTGCCACTTACGGAGTAGTGCGGGCGGGTATCACAATCACCACTCGGAATTCAACTCTACTACTACAATTAAATGGCGCAATAATACTCACTACTCTGGAAGTATCTTCTTCATTGTTTCCTATTTTCCCGAATCGTAACTCTGTGCAGACGAAATATCTGGAAGGGTGGCTGTGCATCCCACCTGAATTGAGTAGGACTGATGTTGAGATGAGGGGAAAAAAGGGAACATGTACTGAGTAAACAATACCCCACATCAGACCAGATCTATTTATGGTCCCGCAGTAAGGTACGTACTGTATGGTAAATGGCCATGCATGCCATGATGTCACGTTATGCACTCGATGTGTGGCTGAGCCGTAGGGCTTACCTGTCATCTGCTCTTGGAATTCATCGCTGCCTTCTAGAAACGTGGCTCAGTCTCAAAAACAAATGGTCTCAACCAACTTCCCCTCGTGGATTCACTGAAGTATTCAGAAAAGGAGACAAGACGGCTTGACCGCCAACTTCCTGACTTTCCGCACCCCCGGTTCAGCTGTCGACGGGACCCACCAAGTACACCTCACCGCAAATTCTAGAGACACCCCCTGGGACGTCCCCATTGCATGTAGCAGAGCAACGCGACTGCAACGTTGTATGATGGCCTTTTTTGACTAACAACTTGAGAGTTCAGTAGCTTCACCTGGCTGGACAGAAATAGCCTCTTGAATCTCCTTTGCCCTGGCTAATGCTACCACGAACCTTATCTTATCTTGAGTTTATGGTGTCTTAGATCTGTCCAGGCATGTTGCTTGTTTGCAGAAACGCAGGACAACAAGCCAATGTATGATTGTTTCTAGCCTATCTGAAGGACCATATAATATTCTCAGATATCTTCCGTCAATGTGCAAAAGATCACCGAAGGGACATATGAGTTTCGAAACCCAGCCCGTTGAGCACCGTTCCGGCCACGTTTCCTCATGACGAAGTGATCGGCACGGAGTGGATGGGTGGCGCATTTAACTCACTACTTGCGGACCAACACCGTGAGAGAGAGATATTATAGCCATGCACGGGATAAAGGATATATAGATCCCTTTTATATAGTTCCACGCCAGGTACATATGCTAATAGCTTGTTCCACATCGCTACGTCGAAAACCAGGACTGTGGCCGAGGCACATTGCCTTGCCCACCAGCGCTAGTAAAATTAGCTCCAGAGTCATCACCAGAGTAAAATATCAAGGAGACTCACCAACGATCAGAGCTCGGGCGTTGACCACCGACTGGGAGGGATTTGCCATGCGTTTAGGGGCCCGAACAAACAGGCGCGCATTTCTTTCTTCAAAGTAGTTCGCCAAGTCCTGGACGTCCAACCAATCTCCACCGATTTCTTTTAGATTCTGTGGGTTGAAGCTGGGTAATGGACTATTACTGGTTGACTGTGGTTGATCGAGGGCTGACTGACATTCTGTTGCTGCTTGACTCTGAGACAATGGTTGTGCAGCATGACTGGGTAGGCAAGACGGAACCCCCTTGAAGTTCATGTACGTCTCTTTGTTTAGCCTAGCATGCAAGGCGCCTCTGAAGATAGATGTGATACATGCCCTAGTAAAAAGGGATAAAAGTAGCCGAAACGGTCTTTTCAGGTGAGTTAAAGGGACAGAGGAATTGTCAAGTAATAATAATCCCTCGTATAGACAGGCGATTCTTAGTTGCTCTGTGAAGTCCGATACTTCCATCTCCGCGACATTGCCGGGCTTGAAAAAGAATAGACTGCTAGGATGATATCTTAAGAGGCATGGTGAAGGCTGAGCTGTTGAGACCGATGGTGGGCTTTCGCCCCCAGACAGAGGTAGATAGCCTGGCGAGATTGGTGCAAAAGAGGAAGAGTGAGAGCTCTCATCAGGCGTGGCGGTTCTCGGGCTGCCCTCTTCGCTAATGCCCTTTGCTGAAGATAGGCATATCTGTACCGTCACACGCAGATGCTCGGTGAGCTCAGGATGGGATGTGAGAACCTTGGATTGGAGCAGAATATCACTGAATGCAATCATTGCCTCGCTCATTATCTGCGCTGCAGCCTCCAACTGTGCAACACGTTTGTTGAGAAACTCAACACTGGCTTCCTTACGCAAGCGATACGCCCTTTGCGCCAGGCGGACCTGTGTCCGTCGCCGCTGTAACGCGTGAGTATAGGTACTTTCACAGGGTAACTAAAAGCGTATTGACGCACGTCTTTCTTATTTTTGTCCATCGAAGTTCCAAGGGCTTTACGAGGCCGCCCCCGTTTCCTGGAAGGAGCTTTGACCGTCTTCACACCGGTAGTTTCGTGTTGTGGGAATTCAACTTGGGAGTCTGGCGTCAGGCACGGGCTGATAATGGTGTCTGCCGGCGGATTGTCATTGTCCTGGTCCATTTTACCGTAGGCGCAAAGTAATGGTATAGTGTTAATAGAATCACTGAAGGTAACCAGACTTAGATTTCGTCCAACGTGCTGGACTGGAGGACTACTGGAGTCAAGAGATAACAGTTTCTTGTTTTTTAAGGAATCGTTATAGCCCAGTTACGTTTGGTACTCAGAACTGGCTTGTATGAACCGTAGAACGAATTTAATTCAGCTGAGGAAATTCGGCCACCGAAAGCAGTGAAAATTTTGCAGGATTTGGGAGGCCCAACCGATTCAAGTATACTTCATTTCAGTAATCTTTTCTCTCGGCTTTGGATCACTAATCCCGATATGTTGCGTATTCTAGCCGAAGGACGAGGCATCTTTAGTGGCTGAAGCAGCGATTAGGCTTTAACTGACGGGCCCGCTAGCACTTGGCTGGGGTATCGGTAGTTCGCTTAGCGTAAGTTGGAGTATATTGTGCTTTTCGGTTCGAAAAGCTCGCCAACCAACTGCCCAAGGCATAGTCTCAACAAATCATACCGAGTTCTACAACCAATCAATCTTGGTGTATAATGTCATGCACTACATCTTTCGTCTCTACCCCGGGTTGTGTTGACTCATGATTCCCCATAGCCCCACCCGCCTTCCATCTGTTTAAACGGATAACTTATGGAATAGAATGTATATTTGCTACTTCGTATGGCCAAACACCCACACTTAAAAGGTAGCCTTTTGATGGAAAGGGCATATTATTCTTGCCAATTCCTTCAGCACCTCCGGATGTTCTACTAAGTGAAGCAGCCGTTCCGACGCCAGCTGTTTCTTAGATGCCTGTAGATGTTGTATTTTTAAATGTATTTGAAGATCAACTCTTTCATGTTATTAGAGTCAATATTGGTCTAAGCGTGCTCAAGACGGAGAAAAACAGTGTTGGCATCCTCCCCGCTTTGGCGATTACCTCGCTATTTTCGTGGTACAGGGCGTTCCTCATAAGGCTGGAACATCATATCTAGTGGAGAACACGATATTCTGTTGCGTGAAATGAATCTTTTCTATTGAGAGAGCCTTTCTTGATTCGAAAAGATCGCCCTTATTTCTCAGATACTTTGTAACGGTGGGGCTGATGCACTGCGGTGGTATGAGATTAGCCCTAGTTGATCACTAATCATGAAAGGCAAAGAGGGAATATCTCCGATGATCTCAAAATCATTGATTAGATTAGTCCAGCTCTCCGATTGATAATGTTTGGCTAGTACAACTCCCGGCACCCACTCGATAGGAAATGGCTGTCAATCAATCAAGATTCGATTAACCTACTGAACCCTAAGTATCTACTCTCAAAGTAGATGCTTGGATTTCCTCCCACCACAGAGTTGCCTTGCAGAGGAATGGCGATCGGATTGCCCTTTTTCCAATTGCATGTACACTTATTCACGACGACACGGAGTTAATCGTGGTGGATACGCGCATCTTAATTGGGCTGTCCGGCGAATTCATTAAATAGCGCTGGAGAAGCTCGCCTACGGCTATCTATATTGTGTAGAGCTATGCAGACCATTCGTACCGCATTCTAACCCTCCAAGGACCTTTGTTTAAGGCTCTTAGTCATTAGCCCTCTTTTGATATTTATTCCTAGCCGGTTACCTAAACGAGAGTTCATTGAGTATGGTGCAGGGCACCCATCAACATGACCAGGAGGATCCCGACAAAACTAGATTTCCCTAGGATACTTTACCTTCAATCGCCCTATCAAGGGAATCATAGTGTAAGACCTTGTTACTGGGCATATGTTCTATATATACAGCTAAGCACTGACAATTCTGCCCCCTTGAGTACCTAGGTCTAGCTATCAGTTAGGGCTCAACTGAGATACAATCTACTAGAACCAAGCTTCAAAGATTCAAGATATTTTTTTTAGATGAATTACCTTTCGAAGGAAAAATGATAAATAAAACAGATAAGCCGACCTAAAGAATGACTTTGGTGGGGGAAAATGTGTTAGAAATTCGGAAGCACAAGGCTTCACTTTGGTGATGATCTAACATTTATTGTTACCATGGATCTTATCGATAATACCCTCCCTCTTGTTTAGTTCCTGACTCTATCTCCAATGGAAAAGAGAAGCATTAATATTAAGAGAATGGAAGCGAAGCCAAGGCCAAAGAATAACATTCTTCATGTCTATCAGTCGTTCTCGCTGCTCCAGCTACTCGCACTCTTCCGACCCTTAAGGATATACTGGTCATTCCGACTGTTCCGACTGTTCCAACGCCTCCAACCACGACACAGTTCCATTTTTCTCGTTATTCATTTCTCTCAACAGCGCTTCTGCTTCATATAATTGCTCTTCAAGCTTGGTAATAACGTAGCCCGCCGTACCGTCTATAGTTGGTTGATTTTGAAATTGCCACTTTTCTTCTAGCTCCACCAGGAACTTGTCAGAGTCAGCAAAATCATCCAGGTCATGACTTTCTCTGAAGACAAACTGGTAACATCTCTGTTTAGCAGAGTCAAGAGCGCTGCAGATTGCGTAAATGCGGTCTTCTTGTCGCTCGATGATGTGTTTGCACGTATCGTAATGTCTTGATTCATCCGCTGCGTCAAGAACTGCGTACCAAGGCATCTTCGTATAGGAAGGCTAAATTGTTATGGTTTAATAGTTGGTCTTGAGGTACGCAATTCCTAGGTGATTCAAACGAGACACAGAAGACTAAAAGGCGTTTGGGAGTCTGGGATACAAAATATGCTCATGTGCATGGTCTCTTTTGAGCTATATATACTGATTCCTATGTAGTAAATTATACATTGTGGAATATTCCTTCCAAGTGGCCATATGAACAGGTGAAGTTCCATAAACCCTGATATATAAACCTACAAGGTGGGTGCAGTATTCCTTTTGTTACACATACACTTAAAGGCAATTTCCACGTTTCGCCTTGGACCGGTAAAAGACAGGGTATAATGAATGAATCTACCGGGATTGATTGTGATGCCCCTCGTGAACAATGAATTCATTGTGTTCTTAACGCCCTTTGGAGGTTGCTGAGAAGGTTTGTATGGGGCTTCTATGTACGTGACGTCTCAAGGTAATCTTCCGATTGCAATCAATATCTGCGATCATTTTGTCTACTTCGCCACATGGACGCTTCCCGAATATCCCTTGCTATGCTCATATCATCTTATATGCACCGTTACCGCTATCCTATTGAATGCAATATTCCACCCCAAGATTGGTTATATCGTCGGATGGTCAATCCAGGTGTCATATTAAACGCATAGGCCTGCAAGACAGGGATTGTGACCGAGATACGATGACGTTTTCATAAAGGCTCACTGCGGTGTCTATATTATAATTTAGAACTCCGATTATCGAAGAAATACATCCATGCCAGAACCCATTGACTGACTCTATTTATTATCTATAATTATTCCTGCTTTGAATTTAAGCTTAGGCAGCTGCTGAGTGATGCTAGGTAATTACGCTCCAACGATATGTAGCACTAGACCTGTCTCAAGAGTTACCGAAGTGTTGCAGTAGGTTTGACCAAGAATTTCCTCTCTATCGAAAAGCAACGAAATAAGCGTAGCGCAACCCGTGCGTGTTAGACCTTTAACAAACAGTACCCTCTAGTGAAAGTACATGGACCTTGTATATTTGAAAATTGAAAAACTATCTTATGGTCTTATTATGATCTGCTTGTCCATTTTAACATTTTTCTTCTTTCTTCTCACAGGGACAATCTCAGAGATATCGGTAACAACAATAGAGGAAGAAACTACAAGCATGCTGCGTAGCATATTTTCACGCATTTTCTTTCTTAACGTCCATTCTTCTTTTCCATCCCAATTCCATACATCTCGTCTCCCAAAACCTAACTAAACGGCTAGATACCAAGAGAGCGACGACCTCTCCCGACCTCAGCCCGTAAAAGATCCTTGACTCTCATCTTGCTGAATTTCAAGAAAATGTTTCAGCTTTTCAACAGTACATCTCTTCACATCATCGTCAGATGGCATGAACTGATCACACGACACCAATATCATAACGCTACCGTCGTGTATGCCTTCCGGATGATAGTCGTCCAGCCACATGGGCTTGGAGGGATGGTGCTCAACACGACACAAAGCATCTTTGATTAACTCCTCACGGGTTTTTGCGGGGCTTTTGGAACTAATCATGGATAGAATCATGTACCAAGGCATTCTTTCGATGTGTTAACCGCTCTAGGGGTGATGATCAGTTGTGCAGATATGATCGAATATGTAGGCGACTCAGAATGCAAGATGAGATAGGGTTAAGAGGGAGTTGAAGAAACAAGATAAATCGAGTGTACAGGGCCATCGGCGGATATTTATGATTTCCTATTGTACTACACACCAGTTACACGTGGTTACTTACCCTTCAGGGGGTGGAGCCTGTGGCATTGGACTGGTAGGTGCCTTTAAAAGAAAGGAATACGGAGGGGTGTCTCTTTGATCTATGTGTAGACTGAGGTAATTTCCATGCTCTTTAGCTTACGTATTCCTGAGATTTATAGGTGGTGTATAGCATTTCTATGCCGTCCTCTATGTAGCGCTGATGTACTAGCGAGGGGTTTAGAGTAAAATGCTGACTATCGGGTTTAAGCGAAAAGTATTGGTATATACCTGGTTATAGAGGGGATATAACGCACAGCATTCTATTAAAAACACGGCGACCGGATATCGCCTGAATCCAGATGACTCCTCTGACCGGAAAGCCCCGCGTGGGTTTATGAGTTTGACCCAAGTGACGTAGTTTGCAGTCAGCCAATCGACTGTGTACGTAGAATGCTTGAGTATTTTGCTCATTATACCTGCAAGTGCGCTTTGTACAGTAAGGACCAGGTTCTTGATGGGCTATGGTCTAGTATCAGATAACACCTCCTGATGATTTCCTTTTCTTCCCTGTCACATTGGCCTCTCACATAAGAACCAGTATTGGCGATAGACCTTTCTATTCTGCGGACTTTGGTCATCATAAGTTTCCTGAGTTTGTAACCATACACGCTTATCAGGTCAGGGAGGGTCCATATCCACACATGAAAGCCATGATTTATAATCATCTGAACGATGCCGATGGTACCATTCTGCGAGGAGAAGTAATGGTGGCCCTGCACTTGATGATCGGGCAAATGAGGCGAGCCCGCTTCCTCGACCAGATGACTGCACCGGTAATTATGCTTCACCTGTCGGCCCTTGAGCGCATCCAGAAAACAAAAGGGCTAAGTCAAATGGGAATTCACCGGTTCTTTTTTTCTTTCTGGGACTACAGCACGTTCGGCCAGTTGAAGCATATTTCAATGGAAGCTTTGTGGTAGTCCGCCCATCCCGACTTTTTGATCTTCGTAAAAAAGGTCGAAGCCGTTATCAAAGAGCTGGGCTATTGGCACTTCGTGAAACCGATTGGGAATACCAAGTAATATCCGTAGTGGCGCTTCTAACCATTTTTCCGAGGATGGTATATGGTCAAGGTGGCATGTAATGGGATCGGCAGTCGGGACGGGCGTTGTGGCGCTTGGGTTGATTTAGGCGTTTCTGTGGTTTCCTATTCCCTTTAGTTTTGTTTTCATTTATCCTTTACATTCAGGATATCCATGGGTGTTGTCGCTCATATTCTGTGTAATGATAGTAAAATGTTATTTCGATCATCCGCTCTGTGCTATTGTTCTCCAAACCTCAAGCGTACCACATCACGAGACATCCATATAGTGCATACTCCCCGTATTACAGGTTTTCAAGTGTAATCTTCGAAACATACCGATCCGTCTGGGATGGCATGAAGTCATCTCTCACAGCCCTCGCTCCTCTGGCGGTTAGCGCAATGCTAATTGCCTCATAAATAGCAAGGATGAGGAGGAGGAGGAGGAGGAGGAGGAGTCAGAGCTAGAATGATAGAGTTCTAAGGAGACTATTTACTTTGAAGATGCACCTGTAGTAGTCATTGTATTCCCGAAGATAGTGCTTTAGTTCCAGACTTTCTGAAACGGCTTCGAGGTTCTAGTTTACCAACGGCAATATTTGGCCACATCGGAAATAGTTCTTTGGAGGCTCGCTGTTTGTTGTCCGTTATAATCAACTATCTTGATATATGAGCTATTACGCTCTATTTAGTATATAAAGCTTCCTGTTTCATCATCAGAGATGCTTAGAACTTTCAGTGACAGGGACAAGCACGTATATCCCATAAATGCACCTCAAACCTCTACACACTGCCTAATATATTAAATTTGTACGGTACGGTATGGCATTCCGACAACCCAAAGCGCCACAAGACCAGTAAATCTTCTGCCCTCCGTTGATCATTACCCGATAGCTTGCTATGAATGGAGGAAGAAGATAAAGTATTTCAGGAACGAGATAGTCTTGTCAATGGGCTTACCGAAGGTGTTGTAATTATTTCTAGAAAAACATAGTTAGTCCTGTGGTATATCTCATCAAGGTGTGGCTCTTATGACAAAAGGGCCTGGAGGCCGAATTCGTTGGTTGGATTGATTATGTTGCTTGGTTCTATTAATATGACTGTGGGAAAGAAATCGCTTAGGAAGAACAACAGTTCTAGGCCTAACTAGGCAGCGTCAACATTTTATATGGATGAGTTTCTATTTTTACACAGGCACAATTTATATAAAGCAGACGGTCTTTTTAATAGGTAGGTGGTTCTAGCAAGACACTATAGTAACAGAAAATAGAAAGGTATACATTAGAGCTCCGAGCGGTGGGAGTATTCTTTGTTCAACATCGTAAGTGCGAAACCCAAGTATTGATCACATTAACCTAGCCTCTTCCATTATAACAGAGGTCTCCACTCTCAATGCATAGTACTAATGATAACGGAAATGTTTCTGCTGTATTTATTTGAATGTTTTCCTCTATACCCTTCATGGTAAGCTGAGCAATATCGTCGAGATTAACGGAAGCGTCGATAAGCATCCCCCGGAGTTGAGTACCTCAATGGTACCCCTCGGTGTCATGTAGCTGGGTGTTACTCCTGTTGCTAGCAGGCCTCTCGCTGTCACTGTAATATATGTATTTGTACTGGGTGGTTGCCATAGTTCACTTGTTCTAGAACAGGTAAAACATGCCGTACAAGTTTTTACGACTGTCAATTATGAACAGAGACTCGTATCAAGATTCGCTGCCAGGGGGCCCTAGAAAACCGAAGAAGCCTATGAAACTTCCTTCTCCAGTTGCACAAGTCTTTCCATCATCTCGTCTGAGAATATGTACATGAAATAATGGGATCTTTTAAGAACTTCGTGAAAGGACGTAAATTCCCTGAGAGTTGAAACGTGACGGGCGGCAAATTGCGCTACTATACTCTGCAACGTAGAATTATTAGGAGTTTGCGGCGCATAGACATATTTAATAAGTCGAATGAAGTCCACGTCGTTCCAGTCATGTGTCAGATTTGATAAGAGCCTTTTCTCGGCAAGGTCCTTAAGCCCTCCGATGTCGTACTCGTGAGCAGTAACATGCATGATAGCGTTGACATATCTAGGGGGTGCGGAACTTTGCCCTAGGTATCCATTTGCTTCAGTCGCGAGCTTGTAGTCATCATAGTCCCCTCGGTAGAGATAGTCAAGCATCTTTTCAACGACGAAAGAATGGTTGATAATCTTGATCTCCTTTGATCCGTCCTTGATGGCCTTTTCGAAAAAGCTAGACTGTGGACATACAATACAACAATGTGCATTAAACGTTGACGATTCACACTTGATCTTGAGGTCTGAGAATGCCCCAGTATCTCGGATGCTTTCTCATGTTAGAAACAGTAATCTGAATAAAGGATCGACTAAGCTTACTTGGATAGCAGCGAAAGTAGAAAGCTGGGTCCTGCGGCTATGCTTTGGGCGCAGACAGTTCTCTCCGATTGAGGAGGGAATGAGGTTGGCCTTGGGCTTTCTTTTTTTAGCTCAGGCCCTGGTTGTATAGAATGTCCAAATCGAGGCCCAAGTTCTTCGATAACAGGCTCAGGGGTGGGTTCCGGCTCTGGCTCTGCTGCTCCCTGTGGCCCAGTATCCTCCAGTAGAAGCGCTGGGTGTCGAGGAGGCCATTCAAAGTCTTTCCCAGGAATAGGCAATCCTTTCTTCATAAGTGATTTCTCTCGTTTCTTTTTGTCTTTGGAACTAAGGTTGTCCCAGTTACTATAAAGTGGATCACCGGGTAGTTTAGCTGCTAGTTTTGGCTCTGGTTCTGTCTTGAGTTCCAGTACTGACTCGGGCTCGGGTTCTAGCTCCGGTACTGGCTCTGGTTCGGGCTCTTTCTCTACTACTGGTTCGGGTTCTAGCTCAGGTTTCTCCTCTACAGGCGCCGTGGGTGGAGGAGGCCAGTCAAAGTCTTTCCCCGGAACAGGCAACCCTTTCTTTATAAGTAATTTCTCTCGTTTCTTTTTGTCTTTAGAGCTGAGATTGTCCCAGTTATCGTAGAGTGGATGATCAGGCAGTTTAGCATCGGGTACAGGTTCCGGATCTGGCGCTGCCACCGGCTCTACTTCAGGCTGTGGCTCGGGTTGTGGTTCCTCTACCGCCACGGGTGATGCAGCTCTCATCCAGTATTTCTCAGTACCAAGGTTGCTTTGATCTCCAAAAGCAAATCCGAACCCGAATGAGGTGCCGAAGGACTTGCTGGTAGCTGTGGGGCACCCCTTGTCTCCGTTTTGTGCGGCGTAATCCATACCTACTGAAGCTAGATAGGGACGCAAAAAGGAGAAGAAGAATGGAAGAGCTTCTGATAAAAAAATGCTACTTGTAGGATGAGCCTAATGTTGCGATACAAGTTGTGGAGTTCACCGCAGTGTAGTGAAACAGAAGACAAGAGAGAGTTGGATAGCCGGAAGAGAGAGGGATAGAAAATGATAGTATAGCGCCCGTGAGCATGGGTACCAGGACCATGACTCGCGTGCTGAGGTCTGCCACGTCAGAGCAAGCGGGGTAGATTTTGTAGCTACCATGTAAAGGGTTTACTATCTGGCTATGCTACATACATGCATGAGCTGGGAACATATGACCTTATACTGTTTAGTTAGCCAGATTTATCACATTCCGTAATGTAGAAACCTTTCCTATGGCTGTATATTGCATTGTTGATTCCCTTTAGTGCGTTCCTCGATCCTCTCAGGGGAGATATGTCCTGGATCGTTTCTCAAAGCTGTACGTAAATAGATCTTACTGGATTACCCGACTATCAGAGGAGCGTTCACTAGGCTTGATCTTAGACGAGGTCCCTCTGGATGTCCCAGATTTGGACAGTGCGTATTTTAAGCCAGATCTAATTATTATCTTGTAGAGTATCGAGGGCACGACAATATCGACTGACGCTCTGGTTTGTCTCCAGATATTTGATTGGGGAAGGCGTGGAGGTCATCGAAAGGATTTTCTTTGAATAAGAAACGCAGATAAACGGACGGCTAGGAAGAAAAGGACAATTCAGCTGCCAGATTTTCAGGCGTTAACATTGACCGCCAGATTTCTTCCCCGCTTGTTCCATTCGAAGAGAGTTCCAATTCCTTCATACGGAATATAGCTCGTTTGAGCACAAGCTCCCTCAGTACGTGAGAAACCCTTTCAGACTCTCTCAGATTTCTAGCTGTAGAACGCATCGAGGTTAGGACGTGTGTCAAAGCGGTCTTTCCACCACGGCCTGGCACATTTACATCCACGCCCCTTTCGATACGCGCGTGTGCAGCACTCCACTGCTGTTGTGCGGCTGCAGCGACTAATATCGGGTTCCCGTTTAGAGCCAATGAGTTCGGATCTGCTCCTCTGTTGAGTAGCTGTTCAACATGACTCCAATCTTGGTACGTTGCCACGTAAGATAAAACCGTTATTATACAAGATCAACGTGGTTGAGTCAGACCGGTGTAGCTGCGACGAGGGCTCCCAGACGTCGAGGCACGTCCTCCAGCAGTGTCCGCTGTACACGGATCTGCGCGCAACCATGCTTGATAAGATTGATAGAATCAGGGGGCTACGCGGCCAGACCGCAGACAACGACGTACTGATATCTCACCCGCAGGCAATTCGTTACGTTGCCGAGTTTGTACACAAAACAGGTCTACTCAGTCAGTTCCGAGAGGCGGAGCTGACCGCACAGGATACAGAACCAACCACTGAAACGAATAGAGCAGAGGGGGAAGACGCTGGTTAAGCGGTCACATGAGGGGCTAGAGGGGTCAACCTAGGTCTGAGGTTTCTAACGATACAGTACTACTATACGGTGAACAGAATGGGGTGCAAGACGCAGAGGGATGGTCAAAGGGGAAGATCGCGCGTGGTGGCACGCGCTTTAGTTGTGATTAAAAGCTTTTCGACTGTTATCTTCTCTATATATATGGGTTTGCGGGATTTAGGCGTTCTGGACCAAGATTCTGTCTCACCGGCGAGGCGCCTGCATAGCTAGATATTTCATTAGTTAGGCTCGAACAGGTTAATAGAATTTTGATTGATTGATTGATTGATTGATAAAACCGTTATTTTTGAATACACGAGGTATGTTCCCTTCACTGTTATGTCCGCCCCGGCACTTGCCAAGAAATCAACTATATCCCATTTTCTGTAGGAGGCCGCTAAGAGAAGTGCCGTATGATCGTCGTCATCGGTAACACTCAAGTCCGCTCCCTCTTTCGCTAAAACCTGAACCGTACTCCAGGCTTGGGCCGATGCAGCGACAAGAATAGCGGGTCGTCTGTTGAGGGATTTCACATTAGGGTCTATACCCTTGCTCACCAGCATTTCAACGATATCCCATGCCCTGGATTGAATTGCAAGTTGAAATGTAAGGTGAATATGGAACTGTTGTGCGTTGAGTTCAAGCGTAGCTGTAGCAAGTTGCTTCACTGCAGGCCAGTTCTGTTGTTGGGCGGCTTTAAGGATATCCATCCCGTGATCCCTCCTAGTATGAGCTACACCCATGCTGTCAGCGTTCATTTTAACTACATATCCACATTTTGAAAAAAGGTCGTGCAGTAGAGGCTGAATATTCCTTACTCTGTGCAACCTGGGGAGCATTGTGAGATATAATGGAGCTCTCCTTAGCTCTAGTGGTGTTCTGATTGTTATCTCGCCTTGAAAGAGGGGCAGCAACACCTAAACATTCATTGCACGAAGAATCTGCATCGGCTGTCCGGTTGGATATGAACATCAGCCTACATCCTTTGAGCGTTTTGCGCGAATCAGGGCCCTTGCGCAGGCTGCTATTTTCCGTCCTCAAGCCCCTAAAGACAGGAGGACTCAGTCCGTTTTCCACAGTTAATGTAAAGAAGGTTGTAGTGATTCACTTATCCGCAAAGTGTAGTTAGAACCAGGTTGAGGTTCATCTTGTGCTGCAATACTTTCAAAGCCCACCCTGCAGCATTCTCACGCGCAAAATCTATCCTTTCTTTCATATTTGGACCGCCAGCAAGAGACGGATATCGGCTCAAAAATCGCCTCAGATGCCTTGCTGTCTTATTACAATCTTTGATGATTGGCTTCAATATTTTCTTCACATTTGTATCTAAAGTAGGATCGTTGCCCGCTATATGAACGCATCGTAAAATTGCGTAAAACGATTTGTACTCGGATAAAAGGTCATTGAATTCCTGTGGAGAGTTCCGGTATCCCTCATATGCCTTCACTAGCATATCAAAGACGGTTTTAAAATCGCCTATACTTAGCCCAATGGAAGAGACCATTTTTGTGTCTTTAGTCAACGAGGGTGACAAGATGGACTGTCTCAGACTCGTGTATAGTCGGCAGGGTTGCTATAGCCTTAATAGTGCAAATGGGACTTGTTGAGGATGACGCAGGCTTGGCTCACAATTCAGTTAAGCATTTTGCCCTAGAAAATCAAAGACCATAATAAAGTGCTGGAGGCTGTGCCTTACCATAGCCTCTCGAGCAGGGCTGACTCTGAGGAAGCGTACAGACTTCATAGAGGGTCTGCGAAGTTGGACGTATCGCCATGTAAAAAGGTCAATCAAAAAACCACAAATAAAGTGCCATGTGGTGATCAGGAATTGGAAAACACGTCATAGCTAAGATTGCTGCAAACCTGAGTGGGACTCAACTGCTGATTATGGGCTTCACTGCTATGACTATCACGGATCGACGCGAGTCTTCGGCTTGGGTATCAATGCAGCAGACCGGGCCTCATTCTGAGCCTGGTGAGAGGCGAAGCGCTCGGTACTATGCTCCGATATGAGCTGATATTCCAGGCAAAGCCTTTTGAACATCTCCTTTCGAAGCCCATTTGTTCCAAGAGCGACATTGGGTCTCATCATCGCACAGCCTCGCTGAAACGTGCCCCGTGTTCCTTCAACGTTTCCAGTCTAGTAGCTAGACTGGCGTTTGGCCAGATTAGGTTAGGTTAATGGGGTCAGTTATACCTAACCGCTAGGTTATGGCTAGGTTAATAGAATTTCTATACCTAACCGCGGTTAAGCCAAAAATTGGACAGTTAACCTAGATTAACTGTGCTTGGTGCCAAGACTATTAATCCTTACCCAGTAGAGTAGATAGTGAGTTAGATTAATTATAGTTAATCTAGTATTAATCTAACTGTCTTAATTAACTATAAGAATACTCTATTAATAATATTAAAAGATCCTGTTTATTGATTATATATAAAAAGACAGTATATTTTTAATTAAAAATTCTATTAAAATTATTATTTTCTATAGTTAAGACAGTATTTTGGTCAATTTTAGTTTAGAGTAGCTGTATATAGAAAATATATAATAGAAATATATATAAATATAACTAATATTTTATTATACAGTAATACTATAGTCTTGTATCTCTATAACTAATAAATACTCTTGACTTTTGTCTAGTATAGAGATAAGATACTAATATATTATTACTATATTTGTTAAAAAAATATACTATATTCTATATATTTTAGTAGTCTTTTACTCTTATTATAAGTAACTATAATATTTACAATATTCTGGCAGATAATTTAAAGTTAGACAATTATATAAATACTATAGAACTTAA